TTAGTTTTTGATATTATGATTTGCCATTGTTAAAGATATGTAAAAGGAGAAATTTGAAAAATTTGATTTAAAAAAAATTAAATATAATATACGGGAGCGCTCATTTAAAAAACGCTCCTGTAAAGTAACTTACCTGAGCGCTCTTTAGGAGCGCTCCCGTACACCTCATTCAGGAGCGCTCTGGTAAGCAGCATACGGGAGCGCTCCTGTAGGTACATATAGGAGCGCTCCTATAGAGAGCGCTCCCATATAATCGGATCTTACAGGAGCGCTTTTAGAAAAGCGCTCCTGTAAAGCGTATATACAGGAGCGCTTTTTTTAAGTGCTCCTGTACATTTCGGAGAGCTCGAACATTTCGGAGAGCTCGATACGGGAGCGCTTTTGAAGCGCTCCCTAAGATTAAAAAAAAGCGCTCCTGTAAGCTTATTTTATAGTAGTGAACATCGGTTCTACTTATTCTAACACCAGTGTTATCTCTTTTAAACCTATGCAATTGATTCTCTCTACTTTGAATTGGTACTTTCTATTTAATATCGGTCTTGTTCATTCTATGTCTTTATTTTGGTTAAACAACACCTGTTTTACTTTGTTAACACTTATACTAGTTTTGAACAAATATCTGTAACACCAGTACTAACTCTATCACACTAATACTGTTTCTTCTATTCTCTTACAAAGATGTTTGATTGATCATGTTACTTCGGCGTGATTTTTTTAACACTGGTATTGAGTTTTCTTTTTAAAAATATCCTTATTCACACAAAATTGTTAGAATTTTTTATCTTTTACGATGATGAACTACATTAGTACTATCAGAACAACACCTGTGCTAAACTCTTCAATTAGAGTCTGCTCATCACTATAACATCAGTGCTAGGACATTATAACATTAGTACTACTATGCATTTTCATGCTCTGTTTTTCGTATCAATTTTGAGTGTCACCAAAATTCATCTTTCAATCTTTCTTTTCATCTGAAATCAATTGTATTCACTCTATATCTTTACTAAATGATATTTAGACACAATAATTTTCATGAAGTTATTTAGTTTGCTTATCTTTAATTGAGTCACGGAACTTGCTTTCTGTTATACCAAAACGTATAAGCTTTGACTACTTTTATTAGAAGCATTTAACGTTTTTAGCCGTTACTGTATAAAAGAGGAAGTATTTGCCTGAAGCACTGTTCCACTGCCTCATCTACTAGAGACTCTTAAATAAGCTTAGATATCCAAGGAAGCACGAAGGAAATAGATTACAAGCAACCTTCAAAAGAAAAATTTGTAAGTTTAATGGATCATTTATGATCCTTAATTATAAATAAGACTCATTTATTATACCTGAAGATATAAGGAATAACGTGAGCCAATAAGAAAATTCTGTGATTATTTGAGTATTAAAGTTTACCTATCTTTTGTATATCATTTATTATTAGAGAGTTTCATTGATTATATATATACTCTTAGAGAGAGTTTAAAAACAGTGGTAGTTCATTCTTAAACTTACTCTATTTATCCCTATTTTACATCTTCAAAAAAGAAGAACTTAAGCTTGGGGAGCTTAAAAAAATTTATCATTACTCTTATAAAGGGGAGAGCTTCAGACGTATTGAAAAGTTTATTGATGTACTGAGGCAACTAAGAGTCCTGATTAATCTTGGTAATATAATTGAAAATTTTAGGAGGTTTCTAGGGACTAGACATAGACTCAAGTGGTAGGAGTCAAACCAAGATAAATCATTTGTATTAAGTTTTGCTCTTCTAACTTTTGTAATTGGTGATTTCGTTTCTTCATTACTTTTATTATTACTGCAAATCATTAAAATTTTTAATTAGCCCAACTTATCCCCTCTCGGACATATATAGATGATGGTTTTCGGCGGGTGGATGATTCTCATAGAACTTATTTGGAATGAGTTGAGAGAGAGAGAGAGAGAGAGAGAGAGAGAGAGAGAGAGAGAGAGAGAGAGAGAGTAAACATTTGACTTTCAAGAATACCAATGAGTTATGTAATAGTACTAAGGTGAAAACTAAAATATTTAGAAAAGCCTTTAATTCAAATTTCTTGGTCATCCCAGATGATAAAACCACCTTACGTGTGGCAGCACCATATAGAAAAAAGGAGGGGAAGGGGAGGTGAACGGCGGTGAAAATAGAAAGTAACGTCGGCATAAGGACTTCGGTTCAAAACATGAGGTATGGCCGTAGGGATTGCGTGTGCCCGTACGTACTTTCCTCCCCTCAACATTTTTCACTTGGCGCCTCCATCGATCTCAGCACGTACGCTTCAATTGCTTACGTTCACCTCCACGTGCATTTCTGTTATTCCTTTCCATTTCCAAGCCGCTTGGTTTTGAGGCAGTAAAATTCAAAATTTTGCAAACTAAAAAACTGTTTGAAAATATATTTTATATTAGAAAAAATAATAGATAAGTCTTAAAAAAATTAATTAATACAAATTAAGTCTCAAAGTGTTAAAGTTTAGAAATTTATAGATTCGTCTTTCAATTTTATAATTTTATTGTGATGAATTTATAACTTATTTTTTAAATTTTAATATGGTTGAAGAATAAATAAATTATTTTAAAAAATAATATCTATTTAACATTTTGCCAAAAAAGCTAGTATCTTGTTTTCATTAATAGTAATTGTGTTAATAAATTAGATAAATATTTTTTATAAGACGGGAAGTGACACAAAACAACAAGAAGCGAACCAAGTGATGCCTGCCTCGAACTAGAAGGAACGTCGAAACCATGTCCCCAAACCACGTGAAGGCCAACACCATGAGCAAGAGAGCATATTTGCCCATGAAATGAGTAAATAATTTTTTCACTCTTGATTTCATTACTTTAGATATTTATTTTAGAATAATATTTGAAACAGATTTTTTAAAACTTGGTTTGAAAAACTACTCTGCAAGATTGTTTTAAGAATGTAAAAATAGAGAACAAGACAGGTAGGACTGATTTTTACCATGCCTTAAACCGATCGAATTCAAAGCACGTACCTCTTGGCTGCCTAATGGTTTTAAATTTCCAAGGAATCTGACCACCATTCCCACCGTATTTATTTACATTCACCGCATTTCTCTCATTCAAAACTTCTGGCCTGAACAATCACAACTCAATTAAGATCTCGCTTGTGATCAAAGTTACAAGTAACATTGACTCTTCATCTCAACTATTGTTTAAAGTTTAAATGTAAACTAAAAACTAAACAAATACTTAATTTATTTTGATGAAATAGATTATTTTTAAGTGTATTTAATATATTTAATATCAAGAGTTTAACAGATGATCTAAGTAGCCATCTTGAAAATGGTTAGGAGTTGTTATATTCAACATGCAATTCAAAGGTCAAAATCCAACAGATATTATTTAGAGAGAATGACAATTAAGTGCCACAAAAATTAATTAATTTAAGTTAAATTTCAGTTAATAGTAAAGGTGAGCAAAATCAAATTGAAATCAAAAATTGAATCAAATTTTTATTATTTGATTTAGTCTACTCAATTCAGTTTTTTTTAAAGGTCAATTCATTCAATTTGATTAATAAAATTTAAAATTAAATAAGCCGAACCAACCAAATTATCATATATATAATTTATTAATTTATAAATTATATTTAATTCATTAATTATGTTATTTTATTTTATTCTTATTAATTTAATACTTAACTAAAAGCAAGTATTTAATCTAATAAGTTGAAATCCTAACCTCTCATTAAAATGAGCTATTATTACTTAACAAGCCTAATTTTATATATAAGCTTTTATCTGTTTTAGTTAAAAAAGAGCCCGAGTCTAAGCAGCCCAACATGAAACCCAAAATTAAATTAACCGATTGAATTAAATTGTCAAATTTTGATTTATGATATCATGTTGAATTCTCTATATTAAGTATGCTTGAAAGTAGTCTATTTCATTAAAATAGCTTTACCATTTAGTTAGACACGTTTTAAAATTTATTTATTCTTAATCCATCTTTTAATTTCTAAATGTGGGACTTATTTGATTTCTTCTCTAATATAATCCTAGCACGTATCACAAGTTAAAGTTGGAGTTGCTTAATCATTAGGAACAATGGAAGCCAACGACAAAATAAATGAATTATGAATGTTTTTCAAATTTTAACTGAGAACCCAAATATTCATATTTAATGTTTAAAAATACTAAGTGTAACAGTTATAAAAATTTGCAAAAGACGACTTTGCTTTTTCCACATTGTGCATATCTTTGATCATTAAAGATGCACATTTGATTATTAAAATTTGGAAATCAAATTGTAAATGCATTATAATGAAATTATAAAATTGAGAGCCAAACTTACAAATCTTTAGAACGGTTAGACTTATTATAATTGAAAACACTAAGAGACTTTATTAGCACTTTGAAATTAATAAAAATTTAACTTGAATTAGGTAGTCTCTTTGAACTTAACTATCATTCTTCCTACTATTTATTATTTTTTACTGTTGGATCGTGCATTTAATTAAGTCTTCTTATTGCGCATTTAACTTTTCTTCGCTTCTGGTCAAAAATACTTTTCTTCGCATTCCAAGTCAACTCATTCCAACTCGTTCTTCCCTCTCATATTTCTTTCTTTACATAGTTATTAAGAAATCGAAACAATCAATATTCAGTATTCTCCAACTTTTATAATAATATAAAGAGGAAATTATTTCCGTTTCCAGTAATTAGTCTTTTGATTACATCTTTATTAATGTTTTCTGGCGTACTATTCATGAGCTCAGAACATACAATTCAACCTTTCAAAAATTTTTAGCCCCCGTACACGTCATATTCTTACTAACATTAATACTTCAAACTTCCATACGGTGCATCTACATATCTGCTCTGCATTCTTACTCACAGACCTGCTTCTGGTCGTATATATGTACATATATATATATATATATATATGCATGTATCATCATCATCAGCAGCAGCAGCAGCAGCAGTTTTGGTGTATTTAGGTTCTGAACTCTGCAATTAATTGAGGTGACGGGGGAGATCAGAGCCATGGCAGGAGGAAGCGGAGGAAGAAACCTAGAGCAAACGCCGACGTGGGCGGTGGCTGTCGTTTGCTTTGTTTTAATCTTAATTTCTATTATCATTGAGCACATCATACATCTTATAGCAAAGGTATAGATGTATATAATCACGGTTCTCCAATCAAATTCATAAATGCTTCGGAATTATACTGAAAGCGTGGTACTGGAATACTGCAGTGGTTGAAGAAGAAGAAGAAAATAGCTCTGTACGAGTCATTGGAAAAGATCAAATCAGGTTCAAAATTCAAACTCTATATTGATCAGGTTCTGTTCTGGGTAACTTTAGCACGTAGTTCCCTTCTTACTTTGATGGGTACCGGTGCAGAGCTGATGTTATTGGGGTTCATATCGTTGCTGCTGACGGTAGGACAAAGTCTTATAACAAGAACATGCATATCAGAACAAGTGGCGAACACGTGGCACCCCTGCAGTGACGAATTAGATGAAGAGGAGGAACAAGCCGCCGAAGATTCTGAAACCACTGGCCGGAGATTACTGGCGGCGTTACTTGATCCTGATAGTGCAACTAGCCGTCGGGTTTTGGCTGCCGGAGGAGGAGATGACAATTGTCCCGAGGTGTGCGAAAAATTGTAAATATATGATGAGTTTGACTGATATAGAAAATATACTAGTGTGCAACAATATATATGGCAGCCTATATTTTAAGAGGATTCAATGATATTGTCCAATGATTATTGCACAGGGGAAAGTAGCGTTTGTTTCTTCAGACGGTATTCATCAGCTGCATATATTCATCTTCGTGCTGGCTTGTTTTCATGTGCTTTACTGCATTCTCACTCTGGCTTTGGGTCGTGCCAAGGTTCGTACGTACGTAAACGCACTTTCTTTTTCAAGTACGATGATCAACTTCCTCTCACCGGCCGGCTGAATTGCATGTATATTGTTTGGTTGTAATTATTTATAGATGAGAAGGTGGAAGCGATGGGAAGAGGAAACAAGAACTCTTGAATACCAGTTTACACACGGTAATTAGTGTCTGCATTTAATTAACATGGTAGGCATATTGTAGCATATGTAAATCAGAATTAGCATTTTACATCTGTTAATATTCCAAAGTCTTAATGCAGTGCTGTTTGATTGAATACATGTAACAGATCCAGAGCGATTCAGATTTGCAAAGGATACGTCATTTGGAAGAAGGCACTTGAGCTGTTGGACTAAACATCCTCTCCTCATTTGGATTGTACGTTGCTTGAGCTAATTAGCTCTCTCTCTCTCTCTCTCTCTCTCTCTCTCACACGCAAGAAAGTTGAAAAAAAAATCTAGATACTGCGTCAATATTAGTTTGTTGCTTATAGTATGAGGTTAAAGGGCAAATGAATAAATAGAGCAATGGGAAGGCACGTACGTGGTACCAATAAGTCAACAAAAAATAAAGAGAAAAATAACGGTCCCGAATGGGCAATGAGCACTTGGTGGAAACGTGGAGGGACCTTCTCCAATAATGTATCGGGACACATCATTCATTAACTATTTTAATAATTTTTTTGCCCATGCATTAATTATTTGAATATGACTAGCTAGTCCATTATGCTCTCCGGACCAAGGCTATTCTTGTCATTGTAAAAGTGTCCGTCGACGTCGTGCAATTTGTACGGCATCAGCCAAAATGAGTATACAGTGCATGAAATTTACCATTCCCTTCTCTTGTGAAGAAATAGCTACATTTTAATATACAACCTCCTGGTTCTCAGCATAAGAGTTTTGATGCAGACATTTTTTGGTTCAAAAAGAAACAACTACTCCCTCTATTTAAAAATATAAGGTATTTTTTGAGAAATTTAATATTAAAAAAATGTAAGGCATTTTTATTTTTTAATCTTTTGAAATGTAATTATTATTTTTTTTAAAAGTGTCTCTATTGATAATGACTTTATATTTATTGTGGGGTGTTTAATAGAGATAAATATGAAAAGATAGGGTTAGTTTGAAAATAGATAACTACTTTATTGAGGTGAAATATGGTTAAAATGTCTTATATTTTTACTAGAGGGAATACATTTTAATTACCTACTATATTAATTTCATTATTTCAATTATACCCTTCTTTAAATTAGGAATAATAATTAAGAATAGCTAATTATAGGTAAATGTTTAAACATTAAATTAGGAGTATTCATTTGTTAACAAAAAATCAATTTGTGATGCATTTAATAAAAAGGATATATATATATATATACATATATACATATACATATACTACTATATATGATAGGAGGGGCAAAAATTCAGCTTTTCATAGACGGATTGGTTACTCATTCACTCATATACATTCATTTTATGTTTGCGCTGCTTGCACAGAGCATTATTTATTTTACTATCTTTTAATTTATTTTTCTCCCCCCTAAACTACTTGTAATGCAGGTTTGTTTCTTTAGACAGTTCGTGAGGTCAGTTATAAAAGTAGATTACTTAACCCTGAGACATGGATTTATGATGGTAATTCTTCTCCAGCTAATTGCCCCCCTATACCCCATAATTAGCTTCATCCTAAATTCTACATTATTTTTAAACTTGTACCAGTAAGAAAATTGTTTTGCATGGACATATATACTAGTACATAGAATAATGGTTTTTTTTTTTTCTTGGGAGTCTATCTCCAACAACTAACATTCAATTCACTGAGAAAATGGGGAACTCTCGTGGAAAATATTCAGGCACATTTATCGCCTCAGAGCCAAGAGAGCTTCGATTTTCGGAAATATATCAAAAGGTCTTTAGAAGAAGACTTCAAAGTCGTCGTAGGAATCAGGTCCGTCCTTAACTTAATCTGCACGCTCAATTAAAGTTCAGAAAAAACGTATATATACTGTACTACATTCACTAGGTCCTCCTTATATATAGGTAGCCAGCCAGTGTCATTCATTCACAGTTTGATGCCAGCAGCTTCCTAACTAACTGATGATTAATCTCTAATTTTCAGTCCTCCAATCTGGGCCTTTGCTGTGTTGTTCCTCCTTTCTAACACTCATGGTAAGTAATTACAAATATCTGTCAAAAATGATGTATTAGATTCATGTGATTCCATATGTTATATCATTTAATTGGAGAAGCGATCAGTAGCGGATAATACTAATATAATATGCCATACATGAACAGGATGGTACGCTCATCTATGGTTTCCATTTATCCCTCTGGTGGTAAGTGAAAAAGTGGGTTGAACGAGGATATATAGTACTATATATGATGATAAATATTTACTATTAGACGTTATTAATGAATATTATTCGTAATTATATTTTGACGCAGATAATCTTATTGGTGGGGACGAAGCTTCAGGTGATAATAACGGAGATGGGACTTAAGATTCAAGAAAGAGGAGACGTTGTGAAGGGGGTGCCCCTTGTCCAACCTGGGGATGATCTCTTCTGGTTTAACCGACCTCGCCTCCTTCTTTACCTCATCCATTTTGTGCTCTTTCAGGTCTCACACTTTTGTACACATCAACATATATATATATATATATATATATATATATATCCATTTTGTGCTCTTTCAGTTAGTAATATTACTGATCCTGTTTCTAAATTTCCCCCCTCGCGTCCTAAACAGAATGCTTTCCAGCTCGCCTTCTTTTCATGGAGCGCGGTAAAATTATATTATACTTCCCCATTTTTCACTTTATTATTGCCCTTACTATTTGTTGATGATCATGAAGATTAATTGAATAAGTTAACACTATTTGCTGCTTTATTTTTGGTCTCATCAGTTACAATTCGGGGTGAAATCCTGTTTTCATTCGCAAAAGGAAGATGTGATCATCAGAATCACAATGGGGTAGAAACCCAAGCTCATTTTCATCAGTTAATTATATATTCATAGTTGCGATCTGAGTTAATGTATTGATGACGAATGTATCTTCAGGGTGTTCGTTCAGATCCTTTGCAGCTACGTCACTCTTCCTCTCTATGCTCTCGTAACGCAGGTATATATATACTTGAAATGAGTCTCAGAAATTTGGAGATGATCAAAATTCAAAATGAGACTGATTGAAAGACGTGCATGCATGCAGATGGGTTCGAGCATGAAGGCGACGATATTTAACGAAAGAGTAGTGGCAGCCCTCAGGAAATGGCACCACAGAGCGAGGAAGGAGGTTAAGAGGAAGCGCGGTTCGGTCGGCTCGGTGTCGGAAACGCCGTCGCCGTCGATGTCACCGGTGTCTCTCTTACGATACTACCGCAGTGAGGCGGACAGCGTGCACACGTCTCCCAGAAAAACAAGCATGGAAGCCGAATTTTCTGCATCTCCGCCGCATTACAGTAATGCAGCTTCTTCGTCTAATCATCAGCGACAAGTGGAAATGGAGCCTCAACTGGGACGTCAGCCTGGAACTCGAGCGCCTTCCTCTGCTGTGACGCAGCTTGAGATTGATATTGCTCCCAACAAAGAATTCTCCTTTGATAAACGTGTTTCCGATGAAGCGCTTAATTAATTAATTAACTTCCAAATATAAGGTGGCCCACATGTATATCAGGAATTCCCAGTTTTGTGAATGTCTATTGCCGGCTTCCTGCCAATCTTATATTTGTGTTTCTCAGTTTCTGCATCTTATTATTTTATTTTTATCTGGTTATAAAATGTTTATACGAGTAATAATTACACTCGAGGCTAAAATATTATGTGTTAGGGACAATGTTTCCATCATAATTTTTCATTCATATTCTCTTTTCTTTGTCTATTATTATTTACGTCAAAAGTGTTTAAAATGTGAAAATATATTTATTGTTCATTGCAATGAAAGTAAGTAATTAACAATTAATGGCCCCTGAAATTATTAGAGAACGCAAATGTTCCGATCACCAGAAAATTGCTGACAATGTATGTGTAACTATTATTATTGTTTAGAGAATACCACAACTGACGCGAGCGTCAATTTACTTTATCAGGACGTCAATTAACATTAGCAACGCTTTTCAAAAGAGTAGCTATTTGTCTAAAACGAAGTTGTTGCAATTCTTTGATAAGCTATTGCTACATTATGCGGCCGAATTTATATAATTCTCTACTTAATTATTATCCTTTTCCTCTATATATGCTTCCATTTGCTTCCATTACGTAATTCAAATTGCTCTGTTTTCTTCCCACCATTGCTCCCTTGGCGATATTCGCTGCTCTACGACCATGGCGAGAGGGGCATCTCAATCTCAGTCCGCCACCAGGGCCTCGACTACGCGTCCAGGAGTCGTGGCTCCTCGTGGATCCGCTGCCGCCACTGCTGGCATGCGCCGCCGTCGCATGACCGGGGCAGGTGGCTCTGGAAGCAGCTCCTGCGGGGGAGGGGGAAGTGGGAGTGGTTCCGGAGCAGGCGCCAACATGCTGAGGTTCTACACCGACGACGCCCCGGGACTGAAGATTTCGCCTACCATGGTGCTGGTGATGAGCCTGTGCTTCATCGGATTCGTTACGGCCCTCCACGTATTTGGCAAGCTCTACCGCTCTCGATCTGGCGGCGATTGAGATGACATCGGATGAGGCGCGTGGTGTTAGATCCATTGAATTTACAGTTGAGAGATCCGTTAGGGAAGCGCCATTTTCGGTTCTCCAATGGGTAAGGGAAAGGACTGTTTACGGTTTTGCTTGCTTCTTTTTTAGATTGGACTTTGTTATTTTCAGATCGGAATATGGTTGCCGAAGACAGTTTTGGCCTTACTGCGACGTTCCACTGATGGCATGCACTATTCATTATTCATGACTTATATAATTTAACCATCCAGATGGTTGTTTTTTGAGGTTTGAACCTTTCGATTGTTGTCACTTCTCAGGCACTGAATTTTTAGTTTTACTTGGTGAGGTTTTGATTTGAACGCTTAAAAGGGACCGGACTGCCGGAGGGACTATGTATCATATCAAACTCTGAAAGTGTGAACTTATAATAACAATAATAATAATGTCTTTTTACTTGCTTAAAACTTAGAATAAATTTTTAATTAAAAAAAAACTTATATACTTTGCTTTATATATACTTAAATTATTTGTATTCAATTAAATAAAGGCATGTAAATTTTTTATAAATTATTTTTTATAATAAATTCTTGTTACTAATTAAATTAATACATAAAGATTCACTTGACTTGATTTGATTTGATATAAGTATATTAAATATATAACAATAAGTATATAAGTTTTGTCCTTTTTAATTTTATATATTCAAAGTTTGTGGGGGTAAACTTAAGAACATTAATTAATCTTCCATCCTATTATTTTTTGATTTCATTGTTCGTATCCTGGAAATTCTGGACATATATATTACCATCTACTGTCCAAACAAGTCTGAACTCCTCTGCATGTGATCTTTATTACCAACACAACAATAAAATCATTACCGTTATTACTTTTCATGCTATTATAAAAGTTTGTCCATGTATGTTAATGATAATAAAATCATTAAATTGATTTTTGGGCTAAACGGCAAAAATGCCTTAGAACCTCTTTTCCAGATGTACCTAATAGTTTAAATTTTTTGGGAGTATTTTTAGTTTAAAAGTTTAAAAAAAAGCGCATGTTTGCCTTACTGTTAAATATTAAAAATGTTGACCATTAAACTCAAGTTTGATTAGGATATTTAACTATTTTGCCCTCCTTCATTTTTATATTTTTTGGTCTTTGTTTTCATTTATTAGAGGAAGAAAAGCTAAAGAATTAACTGGAGAATAAAATCAGAAACTGAACACAGAAAGAAGGAGGGCAAAATACAAAAATATCATCAGTCAAATTTTAATTTAACAGTCAATATTTTTAATATTTAATGATGGAATAAAAATGTTCTTTTTTTGAAACTTTCGAGGCAAAAATACTTCAAAAAAGTTTAGGATGCCAGAAACTCTTGAAGAAAAAATTTTAGGACATTTTTGCCCTTTAACCTTTTATTTTCCTCTCAAAACTATTTACATCCGTGACGTTCTTTTAAAAGAAAATGACAAGAAAATTCTCTTAAAATGCAAATAATAATAGGGCTCGTGGAATATGATTTCTTCTGCTCTTAAGTCTTTTGAAACTTTTAAAACATTAATGTTTTATAATGCCTTCAATTTAAAATAAATTAAAAGAAAAATAGGCATATTGAAACTTATTATTTGCAACCCCGTTTTAGTTATTGTCTAAAATAGTCATTATTTAAATCAAAATAGTCATTAATAATTACAGCACCTAGATTTCAGATTTGCAAAGGGTAAGTACTAATTACTTATCCTATTTTAATCATTGTCATAAAAAAGTAATTATTACTTAAACCAAACTCATTAATGATATTCACAACACTTCAACTTCAATGATTAAAAATTTGTAGAGTAAAACTTATCATTTTATATCTCGTTTTAGTTATTGTCATAAGAAAAATAGTTATTATTTAAACCTTAGTCAAAGTGTGTTTCTTTTTTATTTTAAATTAGGAGTATTATAGTCATTTTACAAATGACATTTTGTTACAAAGATTCCAAGGGATCTAAAAAGAATTATCATATTTTGCAAAACCTCATTGTCATTTGCATTTTTTTGGGATATTTTTCTCATTTTGACATTTTCCCTTGTTTTTATTTTTTTTTCCTTTACCAAAAAGGTAATTTCATTAGAAGGAAACTAAACTACAAACATTAATACCGAAGTAGCAAGACCTAAAAGCTGAATAAAATGTAAAAACCAAGCAAAACAACAGACAACAAAACCAACAACAAAGACCAGAAAATGACTTCTTTTTTCCTTGAAGTGGACAGAAATTTTTTTATGATATATATTGAACTATATTATAAAATAATAAACTCATTAGTATAATATAAATTTATGTAAAATCATCAAAGAATTGATTATTAGATTTTTAATATTATGAAAATGGCTCAAAATAAAAAATTTCTGTATATATAATGTGTGATATTATATTAATAAAATAGAGAAGGTTTAATGCTATTTCTAGTCAACTGATTCAATCATAAATGGTAGATTGTATTTTAAGTTGGGTAAAGGTGCTTTTTTCCCCCGATGTTTTCTCCGAAGAGCACCTAGTACTTTAACATATTTCACACAGCATTTTCACCCTTTAAGTAATTAATTCAAAGCATCCACTACCCTGACATTAACTCCTCACACGTTGATCGTTAGAATTGCTGTGTTGGACTACATTTTGACTGAAAATGTTGCGTTAGACTAAACTTTCCCTTTCTCCCTACATTGTACAATCAATCGATCAAAAAATTTCCTCTTGAAATTAATCTTGTTTCTCTCTCCCCTCCTCCATAACCACCACACAGCAAATGATAATGAAGATTACAGCATCATCGATAGCATGGACAACGTGAAAGATGAGACTAATGAAGAAGAAGAAGAGAACAACAAAGCAAATGACGGTGATAAGGTGGTTGGGTAGTACTAGTGGATGAAAGTGGTGATCGAAGGGTGTAGTTACAGCAAGAAGATGTTGGACCTAAGGGCTAAGTAGATTCAAGGACCCATCTCTTCTCTTGTTAGCCTTCTTTCCTCTCTCTCTCTCCTCCTTACTTTCTCTGCATTCATGCATGCATGCATCGCTTTTGCATGCTGTAACAAAAGGTGGTTTTCGATCCCATATAGTTAGCAAAGTAGAGGTGAAAGAGGAGGAGTTACTACATGAAGGCAATATCATTGAGAAGGATCAAGAAAGAGATGAGTCAAGGATTGACCACGTCGACGTCTTTATCCTCCCTTATTTTTGTCTTTTGAAATATAGATGGGTTAAGGGTCATATTGTTCACTTTGAAAGGCATCATCCATAGGATAATTGATAAGATCGTGATCAACACTAGAAAGGCATTGACATCAATAGTAGGGAGTGGCTTTTGTTACCGATGGAGAGAACAATAGGTTGCTATGACCTTTAAACATCTATGATTGTCACCGTTGTGACTCTAAATGCTTACCACACTACTTGTCTTCCTCACCATCTTCACCCCAAATGTCCACAACACAGCTCACCCAATTCATTACAGTTACTCCATGGTTAGGGAAGAATGTCAAAGAAGCTTGAACAAGGGGTCTTGAAAATTTGAAAAATCATTATGGGAGGCTAAGGAAGAGGTAGATCTTCGATGAAAATAGAGAGGATGAGCTTCAAGGTAGACAGTTATGAGAAGAGAGAGAGAGAGAGAGATGAAGATGTTTAGCTTCAAAGATGGCAATGGCACACTAGTGCAAAATTTGAATTCTACAAAGAACTTTTAACATCGGTTAACACGTACCCATTGTTGAAAGTAAAGGCAGTGACATTTTTATAATTTTAAACAACTTTCAACAACGGGTGCATTATACCCGTTGTTGAAAATATGCATTTAAAAATAAAAAATAAAAATATTCAACTTTCAACAGCGGGTGCAAGCCACTTACTGTTGAAAATATTAATTAAAAAAATTTGAACTTTTAACAGCAAACCTCCGACCATTGTTGAAGGTTCCATATAAAAAAATAAAAAAATGACTCTTTCAAGAGCGGGTGCACTTTTAATAGTAGGTGGAGGCCACCCGCTGTTGAAGGTTCCATTAAAAAAAATAAAAAATGCTACACTTTCAATATCGGGTGATATATCACCCGCTGTTGAAAATGATTCAAATTTTTTTATCAAATAATAAACCCGCCCCCCACTCCTCCTCTTAATTATTCATCATCTTCTTCCTCCTTCACCACACTTCACTGCCGCCTACCTTATACTTCCATCTCCTTGTTACCTCCCTCTTACTTCCCTCAGACCGTTGCCCCTCCCTTCTCCCTTGACACCTAGCCCCCCTTACAGTCGGCCCAAGCCCGTCACCCCCCTCTCCCACCTTGATGCCCCTCCCCTCCCCCCAAGACCCCCTACCCCGTCGCCCCTCACCCATCCCCCTCAACCTTCTTGACCCCCTACCCGTCACTCTCCTCCCTGCCCCTTCAGCGCCCACCCAAAAGTCCCCTGGCCCCAACTGTCACCCCCTCCCCTCCCCCTCAGCCCCCTTAAGACCCCCCACCCCATCACCCCTTACCCTCGGCCCCCTTAAAACCCCCTCCCTTACCCTATCGCCCCCTCTCCTCACCCTCTCGGCCCCCACACCCCTCCCCTCCCCCTCAGTAGTCTCATCCACTCTCTTCCATTGTTCCATTGCTCCATTATTTTAGGTACTTTTTTAATTATTATTTAATTATAATTTTATTTTTAATTATTGTTTAAATAATTATTGTTGAATTACTTTTATTATTATTTTTATGTAGACTTATTGTTGTTGGATATCTAATATTAAGAAAAAATATTCTAAAATTTTAATGATATTAATTATTGCTAAAAGTACTGTTAGTAGCTTCATAAGGCCTTAAGTTTTGCATGTGATTATTTATTTTGTGTAAAATTATAAATTTTTTTTTGTAAAATTTTTGGGAGGTCCAATTTTTAAGGGAGACTCTGCCAAATTTTTTTTAAATCTACCATTTTTCCTAAATTAATTAAAATCATAAATTAATTAGAAATTTACATTTTTTGAAATAGTTTGAAGACAATAACATGCACACTAATTTTATTGTTCTCTAGAAGGTAACATATGATTATAGTTGGATGAATGATAGACGAACAAGTGATATGTATGATAATAGTGTGAAAAAGTTTTTGGAATTTGCTAAGAAAAATGTTGTTGACAATAGTGAAAAATTCTATTGTCCTTGTATAAATTTCTTGAATGAGAGGAGACTCAATATTATTGAAATAAAAGAACACTTGATTTGTGATGGAATTTACAAGAATTATATGGTATGGATTTGACATGGTAAATGATTAAAAAACCATAATGGTACGTCTCAATATGTGAAAGTTGATAATAATCTTGGTAATGAAGTAGATATGGATGAAGATTAGTTAGAGAACATGATCCGTAATGTTGGAAAAGAGGCTTTTAAACGAACGCATGTGTATGATAACTTGTGTACTGATGCAAAGAAGCCTTTATATCCAAGGTGTACTGATTTCAATTTGTTGTCTGGGGTGTTAAAATTAGTTACGTTGAAGGCAAGAGTTGGGTGGAGTGATTAGAGTTTTATATGGTTGCTAGAGTTACTCCAAATAATGCTTCCAGAAGGAAATATACTACTAAATCATTATTATAATGTTAAGAAGATCTTGTGCTCAATGGGTATGAATTTTAAAAAGATACACGAATGTCCTAATGTATGTGATGTATAGAGAAGAGCTTGAAGGGGAGGAGAAGTGTCCAAAATGTGAGGCACCACAGTACAAAGAGAAGGGGCTCTTGCAAAAGTCTTATGGTATCTTCTGATTATACCAAGGTTTAAATGCTTGTTTGTGAATACTAATGATGTGAAGAACTTGAGATAGTATGCAAATAAGAGGATTTTCTATGAAAAATTTTGACATCCAGTCGATTCTGCTCAGTGAAAGAAAATTGATCAATTATTTTCTAAATTTGGCAATGAACCAAGGAACCTGAGGCTTGGACTTTCTACCGATGGAATGAATCCTTACGATAGCCTTAGTAGTATACACAGCTCATGCCCTATTCTTTTGGTGATTTATAACCTATCCCCTCGGCTATGCATGAAACAAAAGTATATCATGCTATCCATGTTAATTTCAGGACCAAAACAACTTAAAAATGACATTGATACTTACTTAAGACTTTTGATTGAAGACTTGAAAGAGCTGTGGGAGGCATGTGTGGATATATTTGATGCAAATCAAAAGGAAAATTTCAAGTTACATGTTATGATCTTTTGCACTATAAATAACTTTCTTATGTATGGGAATTTTTCTGGGTATAATGTCAAGGGTCACAAAGCATGTCTAATTTGTGAAGAAGGCACATGTTACCATCAATTTCAGCATGAAAGGAAGATAGTCTACCTTGGCCATCGTAGATTTCTTAAACAAGATCACCCTTATCGTAAATTAAGGAAAGCTTTTCACGGCTACCAAAGAGTACCTTCATATTTTAGATGCTTTAACTAGGGAGCAAACCTATGAACAAGTGAAAGACATCAATGTTACTCTTGGTAAGACTCAAAAAAATACAAGTGCCAAAAATATATGAAAAAAAAAGTCTATCTTCTTTGATCTTCTATATTGACGCTTTCTTAAAGTAAGACATTGTATTGATATTATACACGTGAAAAAAAACATATGTGATAGTATTATTGAAACACTTTTGAACATGCCAGGAAAGATGAAAGATGGTATGAATGCAAGATTAGATTTAAAAGAAATGGGAATACAAGAGGACTTACACCCGAGATAGTATACTTATACAAAAGCTATTAATTTTTATAAATATATTAGTTACAAACTTTATGATGTTGATTATAGGGTAATGAAAACATATCAAACGATGGTCCTAAAAAAACATCTACATGAACTAAAGGATCCTACATGGATTGAGCCAAAGGTAAGTTAACTAACACTTTGTTAACATATTCCATTGTCAATATTTATTACCGATTCTCAATTGTTTATATATATATATATATGTTTTTATATAGAGTCACAGGTAACCACTGAAGAGTAGTTTGTGCAACGTATATGTGATGAGGCACATGCTCAACATCATCACATTAGGAATGATTGAATTTATAAATGAGGTAGATATTTTTTTTTAAAGCTAATTTTATTGTTACTTGAATTAATTGTTTAATGTTTTAATTGTAATTTTATAGGTTAACATAGATGTTTGACATTGCGAATCCATTTTTCAAGGAAGAGGATGATGACATCCTCACACGTTGGGCACAATATTTTGTAAATGGTATATGAGGTTTAGGTAGTTTTTAGGAAATTGTATAAGACAATTTGAGTTTTGTGTAATTTCTATAGAATTGTATTAAAATTTGAATTATTCATATGTACTTGAATTAACTGGCTAGCAATAAATTGTATAGAATATTTTTATTTGCAAGAATTGAAAAAACAACTAAAAACAGAATATTTTTTTTTAAAACCACTTTTAACAACAGTTATGGAAGAACCATTGTTAAAAGTGAACTTTTAACACCGGTTAATGCCACAACCGCTGTTAATAGTGGACTTTTAACAGCAATTGTGGCATTAACCGATGTTAAAAGTCTTATTTTTTTAAAAAAATTCAACGAGCAACTTTCAATAGCAAACATAGACCCGCTGTTGAAAGTCACATACATTTAACATCCTCTGAAATAACAGCGAACATAGAACCGCTATTAAAAGTATTTTTTACCCACTGTCAAAAGCCTATCCTATAATAGTGGCAAATGCAGCAGAGGTGCGAGCTTTGAGGTAAACGGTGATGGTGGACACTGCTGAGCTTTGAGCTTCATTTGAAGTGGGAAATCGACAATAAGGAGAAGAGGAGAGTAGATGATGATGGTATTGTATCAATGCTTCCAACACTAGAGGGAGATGATAACGCTTGAGACTGAGGCGGCAATGGAAGAATCATCATCAAAGGTAAATGATAACCTGTCACATAAAATGGGGCCTATAAGAAATTTTTAATGAAGTTAGTATGTATCTAACGTCAGAGTAACATGTGCACCAAATTAATTACTTAAGAGATGAAAATGCTACTTAAGATATGTTGGATACTAGGTTCTCCTCCAAAAAAACATTAGAGGCAAAAGTATATTTTATCCCTTTTAAGTTTGAAGGCTTGAAGCGGTAATACTAGTACATTATACAGCATTGAACAACAAGAGTTTTACAATCAATAAAAACAGAACAGGGGGAGGAGCTAAAAATAGAAGAAATAACTACTACCCGCGAAAAACGATGTCATGAGCGTCATTGCTGAATCACTTGCCGATGCGTTCTTTTCGCCCCAAGGGCCTTTGGCATGGAAGAATGCACAGAAACTATTCCAGAAACAGAGAGAAATCCCACAGCCTTCTCTCTCAGCACCCCATCGTATAGATCCCTTTTCAACTTTTCCAGAATTTCATCGCATGAAACTCTGGAGAAAACATGAGCGTCATAGATATTATCTTCCGAGTCGATTCGATATGCCAGAAATACGACAAATATGACATCGACAAGCAGCGGGAGCTCAATGCCTACGGTGATGATGCCTTTGCTCGCCTCTACGCTGCCTTCGAGAATAACATCCATGCCGCCCTCAATGTTTGTTTGTTTCTCTCCCTTTTCATTTCTTTCCTACTCCTCTCCTTCACGTCGTTGCTTATAATTGGTACAAAATCTGGTGCTGAGATTTTTGTTTTTAAAGTTGTCACAAGTGTCGTTTGCGCAATAAACTACGCATTTCCCTGTTATCTTTACAAGTTAGAAACCGTCGAGTGTTAATTGATCTCTGGTTGATGTCACGGAAATTTGGATCGCGTGGAAACAATGTGCATTGAATTTAGCGTGTTGCAGAGCAGAATCAAATAGAGGTCTTTATGAAATTTGAATTATTCATTTCAATGGCAGAAATCGGAGATTGCTTCTAATGAGAAGAACAGGGCAGCTGCAGCAGCATTGAATGCGGAAGTTCGTCGAACTAAAGCTGGACTAATGGAAGAAGTCCCCAAGCTTCGGAAACTAGCGCAGAAGAAGGTAAATCTTGTTTAACGTGTCTATATGCTGTAATGTTTGAGGCACATTTAAATTATTTGGCTTTTTAATTTATAGTTAGGTTTGAATACGACAAATGCATTGGTATTGATGCATTGTTACTTCTTATTCCTTTTATATTCAGAAAAAGATTGTATCCTGCCAACCTCTTTTGTGCTCTCTTATGGCAAGTAAGTAAACAGGAGGGGGGCTGAAGAGAAGCACTAGGAGAGGCTTTGAGCCTATTTTCTTGATGTTATTTCCCCCATAATGGTCCTTTGGAGATGGTTCCTGTCTTGTGTGTGTGTGGAAGGAAAGACTTTTAGCCTAATTGTTTATTGACTGAAAAATAAGAATGTCAGCATAAGACAAGCCAATTACAGAGCCAAAAAGACATACTCCAGTACATAATATGTAATATGGCCTTATAGTAATTTGCATCCTGAATTCCCTGAGGTTTTTGTCAGCTCTTCATGCACTTTCTGAAATGTTTACGCCTGTGTGCAATTTTCAGCAGTAATCACTGAATCTACTCGACGTGGTTTGCCTCTCTGAAGATTTAAGATTACTTAATTTGTTAATACGTGAAAAAATATGCACAGAATCATTATGTATGGCCAGTAAAAATTAGTAGATAAAAAATGGGTCAAGCCATCTTCTAAGAAGGTCAGAAATGGCAATGTGATTAGTTTACTCAGAAGAAGTGGGAAAGTTTTATTTCTCCTCATTGATTTTGCAATGGATATCTTCTATCAATAAAAAGCACTGCTTCTGCTTCCGTTTGCAATTCTAATTCTATCAATAACAGGTAAAGGGCCTTACAAGTGAAGAAATGGCCATTCGGAATGATATGGTTCTGGCATTGCCGGAAAGGATCCAAGCAATACCAGATGGTATCGCTGCTGCAGCAAATCAAGCTGGAGGAGGGGTTTCTCCCTCATCTCATCAAAATATTAAGTTTGATTCATCAGGTGACCATAAAGCAGATGGTAAACGCATTTGACTTTTATTTGTCATGATTTTATCGTTAGTAATTTTGTTTATTATTCCCAACCTCAGAAGGATACAACGAAGACCTATATTACCAACAAACTGAAGAATCAAATCAGTTTAGATCAGAGTTTGAGATGCGAAAAATGAAACAGGCATGTAAGATTCACTGCTAAGTTTCAGCTATATATTTTCAAAGGGCTTGAAATTTACGGTTAATTTGAGGCACGTGTCTTCAGCTGATCTGCAATCTTATATGATTTAAAACAAAATAGGATGAAGGGCTTGATATCATATCAGAAGGATTGGATACGTTGAAGAATTTGGCCCTTGATATGAATGAGGTTGGTATTGTGCATCTCAAAAAGTCTATTGCTAGGTTAAAGTCCTCGATGATGATACCCTTTTTTTGGGTTAATTCAGGAATTGGATCGGCAAGTTCCACTAATGGATGAAATTGGTACAAAGGTAAGAAAAAACCTCATTCATGATGTTCTATCAACTGGATTTTTTTCATGGTGCGAGTATTTCTTGGATATACGTTAAATGGTGGGTTGCAACTGACATACAGGTTGATAAGGCCACATCCGAGCTCAGAAATAATAACGTGAGGCTGAAGAAAACTCTCAACCAGGTTTCTAACGTGATTCATTGTTCTGTGTTTTCTTTAAAAATAGGGAAAAGACAATATTTCCAATTAACATCATTTTTTGTTTACCTCACAGGTGAGGTCTAGTCGAAATTTTTGCATTGACATCATTCTGCTGTGTGTTCTCCTTGGCATTGTTTCCTACATATACAAGTAAGTTACGATTCAGAAGCTGATATCTTGCTAAAATCCAAATGGTTTACTCCACTAGCATCCTTTACTGTCTACACCATGAGAGCCGGCTTCTTAAATCACGTGCTTTTTTGAAAATTTAAGTATCACTTTATTGATTGAGTGATTTTTTTGCGACTTTTGCTTCTTGCTAACTCTATATTCTCCCCTTGTGTCTCCATATGTTCTTAATCTCTTTTCTCCTTGGCACAGTGTACTGAGGCAGTGACTTGATCAGGAATGCTTCCGCGTTTTGCACGTTGGCATTACATTCATAGATTGTCTGGAACTTTCTGTGTAACTTCTCTGTTTCTTATGGCAAGTTCCATAATATGTCATCAATGTGCTTCGTAATTGCCAAGTATATTAATGTTTGGATGGAAAATGTTATATACCGCTTTCATCCATATTTCCACCCAAGTGACATTTCAATGTCTGCATATTTATAATCATGCTGCCTAGTATGTTCATAACGACTTCGCTTGTTGCACTGCAAATGGTTATTGAAAATTTTCTACTCAATCATATAATTTAATACACAATGCCGGTTCACTCGAAAAAAATGTAAACTGCACTTAACCCATAATTGTGAGGTACAATATTAATTAATCTGTGTGAGATTACAAAGCGCAACATCTAGAATGAAGTATACATATCAATAAATGAGTTTCCCAATCTCCTCCAAACAGGAGCAAAGCAATGAGCTTGTTTATTTCGCAACCTCTGACACTATTCACGTTATTGTGAAGGAAGCTCATAAATACAAGAATCTTACCTTACCCCCTTGTTGCTCCCTCCCTAACAGCTGCCAAAGTATGAGCTTATTTATTTGGCCTGTCATTATTCATGTTTCCTAAGTAATCTCATGAATATATGAAAACCTTGAAATCATGTTTCCGGAGGTAGCAAGAATAATAAAATCCACACACAAGGGAATAATATATAGATCAATGATTCACCTATAACTTGGGGTTCTGGTGATCATTATTCATTGGTTCCTTACGTCACATCACTTCTTCATTATTGCGTGAACCTTCCTGTAAAGGGTAATCCTTTCAGTTCTTGAAAATTGATGATGGGATGCAGTATTCTCTGGCCAAGAGTTCCCTCATTACACTGACTTTGGCTATAGCAGTTTCTATCTGGAAGATTATCAATCCTGTGCTCATGGTTTGGCTTGCTGTTAAAAGAAATGAGATTTCCACGTTGACTATCCTCATTAGACGTTATTTTCAGCAAGTCAAAGCAATTGAAGTCCAAAGAAGGGATTGTCATCTGAGGACTCAATGAAGTGTAGGTGTTGCCTTTGCTGCTTCTAAAGTTCATACCAGTCGTGTTGTCAGAGGGAAGCTTAGGTTCATCGGCAAGAACAAAAGCTAAGATTTGATAATCTGTGATTGTTGGTAGGTTCAATTTTGACCCGCTCTGATTCTCCTGATACTGTCCGCTATGATTTGATGAAGAGCCTTTATATCGAACCCGACATAGCACCCAATCATCCAACTGTCAACACATCGAGTACATAGTTCACTAGGCTTTAACCTACAAAGGCATATCATACACATGCATTTTCATGTAAATGGAGACTTGCACGCATGGAACCTTTGAACCTAGAAGGTTTTCTAGTTGTGTCGAGCAATCTATATTCGCTCATGATCCAATCTGTCTTAGTCCCTTTAGGTGGACGACCTGAGTAAAAAGCCAAAGCTTTCTTCACTCCCATGAACTTCGATCCACAGCGAGTGAAAACTGGCTTGTCAGTTCCTGTGGCCTTCCAATACCCAGAAGCTGCTGCCCTGTTTGGCCTTAACCCATTTGGGTATTTCCTATCTCTCGGGCTGAAGAAGTACCACTCATCCTCCCCAAACAAGGCTTTCTCTGCAGTTATAAAAGGAAAAACATGCAGTTTTTAAGCTAAAATCATTGGAACAGAGACGGTGGCTATCAACAGACCTGGTAGCTCCCATGGGTTGAACTTATAAAGATCAATTTCAGCAACAATAGGTGCTGGAAGTGGATGTGAGTTGATCTTCTTCTTCAAGTAATGAACTATGAGTTCCTCATCAGATGGATGGAACCTAAAACCAGGTGGAAATGTGTCATTAAAGGGCACTTGATCTTCCTCCATCATCGAATGACACTCAGTTTCTTCACATAAATGAGGAAAACCGATAATTAAGCGACAATTAATAATCTCAACTGGAGTTGGCAATAAATATGAGGAAGCACATGGTCACTAGCTAGCATTATATATACACACACGTAGAGGTGTAATTGTATGCTTTTAATGCAGGAGATGACACGTAGGTGTAGCTAGTTAATTTTTTTTGCAACAACTACCCAGTATCGGTTACAATGACTAGTTTGTATCCAAACATCATCAGATTTGAATGAGGGTAATTCTCCTAATATAATTTTATTCATTTACACTGTTTAAATGTTCAATTTTATTTAGAGAGAATTAAATAATTTTAAAATGTTTTTCTTTTGTGGCCAATGATTAAGTGCCTTTCTGTTAATCCTATCGCTATAAAAATGATTGGTAGCTAAATATTTATATGGTGTCCGCATGTGCAGGTGAGTATTTTTCAACAAGAGAGAATGGTGTTGGGATTGTAAGGTTTCTTTTCTTGCTAGCAATCGACTGTATCTAACCGAAATATATAAACTAGGAATTAATGATTAAAGCTTGTCCTTAGCTGTTGCTGTCATTGTTTCTGTGAAGTTAAACAACACTACCAATTATATATGAACCTGATTATTCAGAGTTGATACCGTGCCACAAGCATTTCCTAATTAAAACTGAAGTGATACAAGATGTCAGCTTAACGACATTGAGCAGGAATCTTGCAGACAATAAATAGTGAAGCAAAAGTAACAGATTTAATTAGATTTCAGAGAAAGCGATGGAACCCAGGTTATGAAGCAGTTATGGATGATTATGAGCCACTTTGTTCCAATCGATTGAGGTTGTCGTGTTGCGCGGATGAAGGCATGGGATCCTACTTGCTGCGGCTTGCATGCGTATGGGCTCAACAATTCTAAGCATGCTTCGCGCCTATTCTTTGTATTAATTGTGATTCAGAATAGTCTATTCCACTAAACTAACTTAAGCTATGTAGTCATGCATACATTCTAAATTTTATATATTTTTAACATATTTTTTAGGGAAAAGCTTACATACATAACCTTATATATTTTATATATTTATTTTCAATTAAATCAAGACAAATATATCTATTATAAATTATTTATTATATAATAAATTTTTTTGTTAATATTATTAACATATTAAAATTCACATGTATTGATTTAATTTGACAAAAGTATATTAAATATATAAGTTTTGTCCATTTTTTTATTATTAGATATAAGATTTTTTATCTTTAATATGAAAAAATTACATACACCTTGATGTTACCCATAAATTTTACATTTATGTGTTATTAATTATTAATTCAAAAGGATTAAATTAAATATCCTTACTTTTATCATACCCATCAATGGAAATACTAAAAATATTTTTATTATTTTTATCATAAGACCGCGCGCGGAAATTAAGCAAAGGAGGAAGCAAGTGCAAGGAAGAGATTGAGACCACCATGAGAGTACCTCAATCAATGTGATTTATTTCTGTCAGGCTTATTTATAAAAAAATAAATTAAAATTAAAATTTAGCTATCAATTTTTTTTTATAAATAGGTTGGGAGGTAATGTTATTATAATACTATTAGTAAGATGAATGTAATTTGGAAGTCCTTAATCCTCCGGTATCAACATTTACATCAATATCAATATAGAAATTTATATAAAATCTCATTCTTTATAAAATCACCAATATTATGATTTATGAGATTACAGACCACGCAATCCCGTTTTTCTTAATATATTGAAAATAGCTATAAATCCACTCATATTTTTCGCCTAGACCTTTAATGTTAAATAATACATATAAAAATATATCGAATAATTTTATCAAAACAAATATATTGAATAAATTCACTATTATCATTTTATTAAACCATAAAAAAAATTTCCATGTATTCTGTGTAATAACTTTATTAAAACATTTTTATAAAATTAATATATTGATTATGATACTTTTACTTTTCTATATTATGGGGCTTTTGCATGCATAGCCTATTTTAAAAAACCAAACCCAATAAACAACCTAACATTTGTTATATTTTGCATTATGACAAATATTTAGTTGAGCTTTATATAACAAACTATCATCTTTGTAAATAATATGACCTTCTTTCAAATACTTTTTTTTTATTATGAAAAACTTTTTTCAAATATTCAAAGACGAAAGAGAACTTCATTTGACCCTCTTTCAAATAGAAGAAGAAGAAGAAGAAATAATGATATTAAGCATTCACAAATTTACAAGATTAAATTGTGTTGATAAGTTTTCACTAATATAATTTATCAGTGATATACAATTGTATATAAATGATATACTATCATGGACCACAAACACGAAAAAAAAAAAAGCATAATCATCTATCCAAAGTAAATCAAATATAGTCTATAAAAAGTTCTGGATATCTTAGCTTAGCTTCACAAAGAATCAAATATCCCTTTGTAATAAAAGTTTTGGGTTTACATTTATCTTGCGCGAGGAAGCTTAGTAATGAGACTCATCTATAGAGGTATAAAATTGAACTACTCATATGGGGACGTCTCTTGCAAAAGAGTATACTTGTTAGGACAATAAGAAAGCAATTTGTGAATATCACATTGATTTCTTCACTCACAAGAATGGAAAGGAACAATTGTAAAATGAGGATAAATATGAAAAACATGTGTTCAAGGATTTGATTCAGTTAGTTAAAGGTAAAATCATTTAGTTAGTTAGAGGAGATATATTCATTGACCGGTTTATGTAAAGCATTTTAATGATATATTTGTTCTTTGGATAAAAAGATAAAATCACCTCCAATTAATTTTATGAATAGCCTATATTTTAAAATATTCAAAAACCTCATTTATAATTTATAAAAATTATATTTTTCATGGCCATTGGGCTAATTTACTCTTTTTAGAATATATATCATTATTTATGATTTGTAATATAACTCTAATAACATTTTTATATTATATTAATTTTTTATAAATATTAAAAATATAAGGGTGTGTGTGGTTGGGCCGTCCTTTGTAAGAGTGCATCTATACAGGAGCCTATTAAAAGAGGCCCCAATTAATATAAATGAGCAGATCAACCTTTAAATTATAGATTCAAAAATGTTTAGGATTTTAAATTTTTTTTTGTTTTATATTTTTTTAACTTATAAAAATGGTACAATTTAACTTTAACTATTAATAAAAGTTAATTTTGATCCTTAGTTAATTAAAAAATAATAAAAATAACTTTAAAAATTATAGTAAATGATTAAAAAAATAAGGTTAAGGGTCTATTTTATTTCTAAACTAGTCACGAAAGATCATAAATACCTCTAAACTTATCTATATATTATTTATATTCTTTAATCATTAAAATTTTTAAATTTATCACCTTACTGTTGGTCCTGTAAATTTTTTCTGTGCCTACTTTTAAATTTTTTAATATTTTTTATTATAAATATTATGTTATGGGTTCCACCAATATTTTTTTAATATTTTTTAATAATTTAAAAAATTTCTCTCTCTTCTACCTCCTTGCTCCCTCCCTCCCCCTCTCTCCCCCCATCGTCCAACGAGGATCTCACACAGCCACTGTGTTTAGAGCATCCTCAGCCTCACCGATGCCTCCCTTCCCCTTCCTCACACTTCTTCAACCCCACTGCCACCACATCCTCCTTCACCACGGCACCTTCATTCAAAACTAGAATGTGAGTCCTCCTCCACCACCTTCTTCTCCTCTTCTTCCACCTCTTTGAGCGCAAACTCAACTCTGATTTTGACGTTGACCTCCTCTCCACCCTCCACCTAGGACGTGCCACCTTAAAATCACCCTAACCCTTCTTCATGCAGGCATGCATCACCTCTGGATGAGCCATCCTAATATTAGCCAAACCGAGCTGCTGCGTGAAGGTGATGGTGCCGAAGAGCCAAGTCTGCCTGAGTTTGGCCCTCTCTGGCAAGGCAAAGGTGGCTGATGGTGCATGCATTGAAGACGGGAGTTGTTGCCCAAGATTACCTTGACCCCTTCTCTGATGGCGCCGAAGGCGGCTCGATCTCAGACTAGAGAGGAAGTTATTGAAGAGATTGAGGACACGAAGGTCGAAGTTTTGGAGGATGAAGCGAATGAATCTACTTGAATCTGTTCAATATGTTTCATCATAATCTCTCAACATTGCCAAACTTGAATATGCTCCTCCTTCCTCATGAACCTCCATCCTCAACCTCATGGCAACAACCTCTACTTCTCATCATCAGCACCCACCATCAAGAGAGAGATGGAATGAAGGAGAGAGTAAGAGGAGAGAGGGAGAGTAGGGAGAGAGGAAGTCACGACGAAGGTGAGTTTGGTGGTGAAGTCTACAATATTTCCAGAGACACTATTCTAAAGGTGGATCGGTGAGAAGTATGCAGCTCGTCTAACACTGTGTGTGATCACCGTGAGCTTCCCGGTTTGATATCTCTCTCTCTTCTATAAACGCAAGTCTGCTCCGTTTTGAGATCGGGAAACAGAGCATGGTCCACTGTTTTGTGATCGTGAGGATCCGTGGAGTGCAGTCTTGGGAATGTTCTCTGGTACAGATAAATATCATGTACTTCGAGAGCTTTCGGCGCTGATGAATACGGACATGGGTGAGAGGATCACCTGTGACTTAGCCTTCTGCATCAATGGTGAGATGATCCAAAGCAGACGGGGGGGGGGGGGAGAGAGGGGTGAGGGGGAGAGAGAAAGGAGAGGAGAGAATTGTTTATTATAAAAAATATTAAACAATTGTGGGGCCCATAATTGATAAACGATTGTTTGATAATTTTACTTTCAGGGTGAAAAGATAATAGATTTAGTGCATGTTTGGTTTATATCCTAATCTTCGTTAGAGCGAGTTAAACTTAAACTGAGGTTGGAGAGTAAAAAAGTTAAAAAATAATGTTTGGATTAACAAAATATATCAATGTCAGTTAGAGCTAAACGAGCGTTAATTTAAAAGCTATCAGCATTAGCTTTTTCTCCTGCGTTGCGTTGATCTGGTCGTTGGGAAGCATTGATTAGCTTTTAAATTTTTGTGCTTTCTCTCTCCTCTCATTGATCTAACCCACGAGCATGAGCTTTGCTTTTCATTCCACTGTGCTTTCTTCTCTCGTGACCTTGCAAGCCAATACTGAAGAACCAGATTGCAGCTTTACTTATAATGATTCAGATTATTTTCCAAAATTGAAGACAAAAATAATGAAAGTGTGTATAATGGTTTCTGGTAAATCCTGGATTCGCATCTTTGAAAAGCTAGGATTGATGAAAGCCAAGCTTCCATCTTCATCACCACTGCCAACGCGATGCTTTTCACAGATCAATTGTGTGTAGAAGTGAGCAGAGAGAGAACAAGTATGCGAATTCCAGAGAGCAATCCAAGGCACACCATACTCTTGAGCAAGAACAAGAGACAAAGTCACAAAAGCATCAGAAATCACACACATCACTCTCAAATTCCTCTCTGAAACCACCATACTTAAGCCCTGTTTTAGGTTCTGAGGACCAACTTTGAGAAAGAAGTTCAGCCTTTGGATGGGTGGTAGTTGGTGAGGTTGAGACCGTCGGGGATTCTGTCGGAGACAGTGTAAAACTTCAGGGAGGGTGTTGTTGAGTTTAAAAGATAAGAAGGAATGCTTGCTCTGTAGGGTGGTGAAAATGGAGAAGCTCACGTGAGGAGCAGCGATGACAAGGTTAAGAAGAGGAGCAGCGTGAGTGCCGTAAGGGAAGGCAAAGACTGCCACGTGTCTGCTCCGATCAGGTGAGGCTCCACCAATGGTGGTGGCTGTGGCTGAGAGTAGAATAGAGCGATGAAAACAACTACAATAAAAAGGTGGTTTTCGTTGAAATGATATTGGCACTATACTAAATTTGTTCCTATTTATAAGATTTTGTTTTTGTAATATTTATACTTCATGTCTTCAACTTTTTATTGTAAATTTTTTCTTTTACTTTCTTGTGAACATGATAAAAAAAATACCTTATTAGAACGTGTAACTTATGAGGTTAGACTTAATGAGAAAAATTAATTCCCTATAATATAATAAATTAAATTTTAAATTCTCTTAAAAAGAGAGATACTCATATTTAATGATAAAAAATGCTTGGAACATAATTGTTTTCATTAGACATGTAAGCAATAAATAAATAAATATATAATATAAATAAAGATGAAAACTTATTAGAATTTTAGAGAGTTAACTAATTTTAAAATCTTAATTAATTGTGAAGAAATTTGTTGAGAGTCATTTATAAATAATATTGAAATGAAAATGCATATATTTATTAATAGATCATAGGTGCCTGTTTACCTTTTTTTTATTAAAATGCATATATTTATTAAAAAAATTATGCTTATTTTTGCCAAAAATATCTTAACTGACTTTTGAATTAAACCATCCAAATAAATTTTAATTTATCTGACTGACTTCTGAAAGAAATGGTATCCAAACATAAATCACATTACATCAATTGATTTTTCTTCTAACCTCAATTTGTTAACCTCAGTTGAATCCTAACCTTAGTTGTAAATTTTTTAATTCAAACACACTCTTAACGTGTTGAGAAATACAAATCATCTATGGTTAGTCAGTTGTGACTTTTTGAATATATTTTAAGGATATTTTTAATTCTTAACTCAAACAATAATAGATAAGGGTAAAAAAATTATAAAAAATGATCAAGAAAATTATAAGAAAATTTTCTTGATCCTTTTCTTTAATTTTTTAAATTTTTTTCTGTCATTTTCTAATCAGCTAATAATTAAAATTAACTTTTATTTAGCAGATGTCAAATTGCACTTAAATATTATAAAACGAATGAGTTTAGGATCTTAAATGCTTTTAGATATATAATTTAGGAATCAATTTATTCATTTACCTCCCAAATTATTGAAGTTTGATAAATTTACTTTAACCTCCAATTCTGGAATTGAAATTTGGCCATGTGAAATTTGAAATCTAATTAGAGCCAGTAAAATGTGTCAACCTGTGAGTTGCAGGTTGCCTCACTGTAAGTTGCAAGTTGGAAGACCTGCTTCTTGGTAGGCCAGTATTTCCTAGCCCAAGCCAAAGTACTCACCAACAATATACTTTTTTGAAAGAAATATATTTTCCTATTTTTTAAGAAATGTAAATCCACTACTTTTTATGTCTTTTATTTTTGGGAATGAAATCAAATTTTTTTCTTTAAAATTAATTATTTAAATAAAAATAAAAATCCTTCTAAATCATTAAAACACATTTCAAATTTCAAATACATTTATTAATGATAATCACAAAGCATTTGTCTAGTTGAATAGTTTAGATAAGTGCACATCAAAGTGTCTCACAATGCACATGGTTTCATATGATGGGTTATTGTTGAAAATTATCTGCCATGTTATAACATGCATTCCATAAAAGGATGTGTGATAAGTGCATATTTTTAAATTTTGGATTATAATCAATCAAAATTATTAATATTTTATTAATTTTTATATATTTTTCTCCAATCACTCAATTATAAAACAAGAAGAGAGTTTGATCCATAATCTACTTATATTTTATTTCTTTTAGATTGTGCAGGAAAAATTTAGAAAATAAATTAAAGGACTGAAGAAAATATGAAGATGAATCTCTTATTATATATATATATATATATATATGTATATTTGTAAAGAAGAGAATATATATCTTAGAAGAGAACAATATTAGATTTCAAATCAAATAAAATCAAGAGAAAAATAACATTTTGGTATTTTAGAACAATTAAAAGATTTTATTTGCTGAATATTATAGATAAAAGCTTTTAGGATTACTCAAGGGGAGCTAATTTCATCACCTGAGAGCTAGGAGGAAGAGCACGAAATCTAGAGGAGTTATTTTGAGCTAAAAGTTTTTCCTTTTTTTTATTCTTTTTATTTTGTCTATATTGCTAAACTCTCAGTTAAGATAAGAAATAGTCTAATTGAGATAAATTTTGATCTTTTATTTAGTTATTTTATTTTTTCCTGTTGAACTTAATGTCTTGTCTATAATATTTTAATGTTTCTATTTATATTTATCCTTCTTCTCTTGATTACTTATTATATAGATCGTTATATAGATTGTTTGTGAGTGGTTTAATAAACTGAAAAATGAAAAACTTATATAGACTTGAAGAGATAAACACAAATAACTAAATTAGGAATAATTTAAAAATTTATGCTATCTTAAATCATAACTTCATAGTTTTAGAAAGTAGAGTTTAGTAAGTGTTAAATTTAACTTTGATTAAATATATCCTAATCTATTAAAAAGTAATTAGGACACCTTATAAATGATTGTCACCATAAAAGAAGTGATGATAATCAAATGAATTAGAATAATTCATCTTGATATGTGAATCCTAATCCCTAACACTCATTTGATTCATTAGTTCATCTTTTTCATTGCTTTTACTATTTTTTCTTATTTTCATTATTTAAATTAGTTACTTCCTCCATTAAAAAATGTAAGGTATTTTTAATCGAATCTTACCTCCAATAAAGTAGTTACCTAACTTTTAACTAACCCTATCTTTCTGTATTTATTTCTATTAAACACCCTACAATAAATATAAAATCATTATCAATAGAGGCACTTTTGAAAAAAAAGGCAATGATTATATTTCGAAAGACTAAAAATATCTTATATTTTTTAACATCTAATTTCTTCAAAAATGTCTTATATTTTTTTAACAGAGGGAGTATTTTTTTTAAAATTATTTTTTGCTTTCCCTGAAATAACAAAGTTAATTGGTTTTCTTTAAATTCGACTCTTGAAATATTTTAGGATTTATCACTATATCGATCTTGTGAGCTTGCGAGGCAGATCAATTTGATCCACTCAAGGAGTCCAGATTTGATGAATTTTAGTTTTAAAAAACTTTATCACTGTCGCACATTTTTTACTTGTTTGTATTTAAAGTCGTACGTACAGCTTAATCAATTATTGTTTTCCTTAAGCTGCATTAGGAAAGATTTTGAGAATAAAGCTTATAAAATTTTAATTTTCATGCGCTTATACGAGATCAAGACCGAGAGAACGAGTAAGCAAGTAAATAAATTTAAAACAAAAAGTAAATTAAAATAAAATAAGTGGCTAACCTGCCAACTAATGGGTTAGCCCGCCATTGATTCGGATTATACGGTACGAGCTAAAATAGGCATACATCTAAACAAGCCTTGTTTTGAGGAGTTGAGCCCAGCTCTTAGCTTAATGCCATCATTTTTACACTACTGACTATAAATACAAACATTGTTGACTTTTTGGCTGAGGTGTGGTCTTTCTCAAAATGAAATTTGATCCTTCTTATAATTTAATGCATTATTCATTAGAGCATGAACATCGATCACTCGCACTATATCTGGTGTCCTTTTTTGTGGCGGTGATCAATTAATTCACATAGCATCAAATTAAATGCCCAAAAAATATTTTATATATATATATATATATATATTAGATGTAAAGTTGAAAATTTACCTATATCTGTACGCATAACGTTGAAATTTTCATCCGCGTTTCTCAGAAATTTCGGGCTTCGTATTCATTCTGGGCGGGGTCATGATATGCTTAAGCACTAATCGTACTTTTCTCCTTTTCAAGTAATTTAATTTTTTGTAGATCGATCAATAACGATTATTATATGCGTAATGGCATCTTTCTGGGTAGAAAGCTTATGTTAATTTGTCTTTAATTAGATGATATACTATTATAACACACGTACTGATCTGTGTAGAGCGTGCATGCGGTTGCTCTGTCTCCGTCACTAACTTGAAATTCCGTATTAACGAATCAATGATTTCTCTTGAGAGGCAAACAGGTAAGTGAATTGTATTAACAATTTTATTTTTAAAATATTGTTACTTGGTGCCCAAGACGAACAGGGAAGTGAGTTAATCAACACATCTTGTAGACGATATATCTACATGACTGTCGAATTGAAGGAGAGGGTCAGAGAGAGAAGAAAATAAACTAAAGATGCAAGTTTCATGCGATGTCCTTTGAGTGGAAGATATAAACACTTCACTCATCAAAAGTTATATATATATATATATATATATTGAAACCAGAGTCAGATTGTTATACTGGCTTGTGACTGCTAGTTCATGTAGGTGCTAAGCTACTGACGAATATTACTGGCGATGATGCCTCTTTTTATTCAAGTTGACACGAACATCTTTTATCATTTATGGAAGCTTTCACAACATTTAAATAATGGAAAAATTTCAGGGATCTTTCATATTAATTAACTAACTGAATGTTAGGTGCACATAATTCTCACAGCCGCCATGACATGCATGCATGTGTATTTTATCAGAATACGTTCTGATCTTATGCTATTTTTCATTAAAAAAATGGGATCGAATGGGCGTTTAAATTAGATGAATTAACAGTAAAGTTTATTTCCTTGTTAGACAATCATTGGATCGATCGATCACGTGGTCGACAAGACTTATACAACATCAAATAGGTGTAGCAATGCAACTAGCAACTAGCAACTAGCTGTAATGTGTTTGTGTGTGTGTGTGACAGCAAGATTTCCCCCCCAATCAAACTCTTCAAGGTCGCTGGTGTTATTTGGAAGAGTGAATTGCCATCTTTTAGTCGTAAATAAAATAATCAAAATCACATCACCAAATGTCTCAGTGTTTTAGAAGCTATGCGCACTCACAATCACAAGTCATTAATGTTAAGAATAGGGAGCAGCTGCCTAAAAATAAGGAGAGAATAAACGAACAAGAATGATAAAAGTATACCACATCTTAACTCAAAATCTTAAAAGTCAAAGTTTATAAATACTTATCCTTGATCATATATTAATTATTAAACCTAATTTTATTTAACATTAAACTTTCACGTATCAACTTAAATTCACTTATACAGCCTAACAATTGCCAACTTACTTTCCCCATATATTAAATCACAGAAACAGTCTTCAATATCGGTGGGTTAGGATGAAAGTTTGTACAGGACTACTAATATAATTTAGCTTTGCTTGCAAGAAAATAATTAATTGAGGGGGAGTTATTTTGCCTGATGAACAGGAATATATATATATATATATATATCAACGGAAGAATCCCAAAAGATCATATCTTTATCAACATTATTTTGACGTGGAAAATTGCAATCGACAATGAAAAGTAATTGTGGGGGCTTTTGTATAATAAAAGAGAAACATGCGAAGGAAAAATATGAGGCATATGTACAGTAGCCATCATATTGGACGAGAAAAGCTCTGAAATGTTTTAATTGACTTAATGGATAAGAGCGTCCAGCGAAAAGTAATTGAAAAGTGCAATTTGAAAATTCGATACTAAAGAAATTACAACGTACTTGCATCCCTATGATTAATTTGATTCAATCTTTTTAATTAACATTTGTTCAATCGTCGATCGGCCCACCAAATATCCCAAGAGACTTCAATTCAATATGAAGATTGTTTTTAATAACACTCTAGCTAATCCTAGTAAAAAAGATTAACAAGAAAGCAAATTAAGCTGTCAAAATAAGGTAAATGTGTATGTTATTTTCTTTCAAATCAGACTTACGTGTGGATGAATTTTAAAAGGCTGGTTTATTGGTAGTTTATTCATTAGGTGGTGGCAACTAAAACTATGATATAAAAGCAAAACATGCGTAATTGGGCCTCTGCTGCTTCCTCCAAATACAGGGAGGGAATTCTTCATTGATCACTTGTTCATCTTCAAAGTTCAATTAACAATATAAGCCAGCCACTAAATTATAATTAATTAATAAATTCTATATTTCTTTTCTCGTCCTTTTTTATTCTGATTGCGATATTGTATAAGGTAACCAATATATTATTTACTGACTTTGATAAGAGTAATAATCAATTATAAAGGACTATAGATTTAGTAAGTTAGGATCATATGTCAATGTATTAAATCAATATATTAAAAGACACCCTCAATTTAAAAATATAAAATATTTTTTAAAAGGTTAAATATTAAAAAATGTAAAGCATTTGAAAGTGTTCATAATAAACAATTCAATTTATATTTATGAGTACTTTAAAGTAAAATACCTTATTTAAATATGGTAAATATGAAAAAAAATATGATATTAATTTAAAAATAATTAACTAAGTAATATTTAATTAGAAATACCCTGTATTTTTGTAAAGAAGGAGTATATGGTCAAATGTAAATCTATGGTCAAATGTGAGAGGATAGTTGAGGCCAGGAGGGCGTGAAGAGTGACCCATTTTTATAATTCTTTAAAAAAAGTATAGGTTAATGGAAAAGGTAAAACGCAATTAGCTGGTCTATCTCAAAAATTTGGATTAAGAAGTGTAGCCATAAAAGGAAAAAGAAAAATAACCTCGCCGGAACAAAGGCGACGATCATAGCCTTCCATTGATGATATATTCACGCATAAAAAATATTTATTAATTTTTCTTTCTTCTAGTTGCAGTATATATATATATATATTTATATTCAGTGTATTTGTTTGCCAATTAATGATAACAAAAGAGGAAAGCACATAATCTTTCGCTGTCAACACCGTTCTTTTTGGGGCTCCCACCACTCCCAACCAGTGAGACCTCACGGACGGCGCCACCCCCCACCCCCCATATCACAAATCCTCTAATTCATCTCTCCATTATCCAACCTAATCGTACATGCTTCTCCTTCTTCCATCTTTTTTAAGAAAAAAAAATTAAAACTAATCATATCTGTTCCAAGTAAATTTCCATTCATAGATACATACGATATTCAGAAAAAAAATGAGTGAAAACTTTAAAACTATTTTGATATATCTCAACCGTTGATAGCAGGAGTACGAGAAATGGTTACTTTTTTTGTTGTTGTTGGAAAGTTCCATCACAACATAATACATGCACAATGATTACATAAATACTGACCTAAAACTAAAATACAACTCAATTAAAGGGGGCCTAATTAATTAAGTATTTCTATATTGAACAGGAGGCATCAACATTAGTTAATAGGAGTAGTTTGATATTATCACGTCTACTATATACATATGCATTATTTCAAACTCCATGGTGCACCAAGTCGTATCAGGGAAAGAGGTGGAGAGAGAAAACGGAAGGCGAGTCAATGGAAACCCACTTGGAGTGTTAACCAGGGAAGTCGTACGGGATGAGAGGAATTTTTAATTATCATTTTGATATATCATAAACGTCATTATCAATAAATTTTGTAATATTTAATTGGGGGTGAGATTTGTGTGCAACTATTTGGGGGGGGGGGAGTCTCACATCACAAGTCAAGCGTTCCTTTTCTCGATTGGAGTTTTCTTCCTCCTTCCTTCCTCCTTCCCCCACAACCCAAACTCAAATATGTGGACCCCCTCTGTACGTTATATCTTATATCAAACCCACACCACCATGTACTGCTACTTCTGCAGCTCGAGCTAGCAAAATCAATTTAATTATATTTTGCTTTTTTCCTTGCCCCAGCAGTAGAAGTAGAGCATTTCTTGTTTATAATAACATTCTCAATGGGGCTTTCTCCTTAGTATTCATTGCCCTACCGAATCTGAACATGTCTGAACAAGGCCTTACTCTTCCTTCCACCCTTAAAACCTTCCTACCCCATTCAAATCCTCTCAAGAAGAAGAGAAATCTCCCCGGAACACCAGGCAAGTATCTCTCTCTTTCAACTCCTTTCATGTTCTTCTCCCCCTCTAACTCTGAATTCAGAACTTCAATCAACTTCCACCGATTATATTGCCGCTAGCTATCAAATTTTTCAGTAAACGCACTGTATGTATACCTCGAATTGTTAGGGAAAATTCGTTTTCTGATTCAATATAGTTTCCACCGTGATGGGTATTCAGATCCGGATGCACAGGTGATAGCGCTGTCGCCCAAGTCCTTGATGGCCACGAACCGTTTTGTGTGCGAAATCTGCAAGAAGGGGTTCCAGAGAGACCAGAATCTGCAGCTGCACCGCCGAGGACACAACCTTCCCTGGAAGCTCCGGCAGAGAAGCGAGAAAGAACCGGGGAAAAAAGTGTACGTGTGCCCTGAAAAGACGTGCGTCCACCACGATCCTTCCAGAGCCCTGGGAGACCTCACGGGCATAAAGAAGCACTACAGCAGAAAACACGGCGAGAAGAAGTGGAACTGCGACAAGTGTTCCAAGAAATACGCCGTTCACTCCGACTGGAAGGCACATGTCAAGATTTGTGGGACTAGAGAGTACCGATGTCACTGCGGCACTCTTTTCTCCAGGTGATTTAAACATTCTGAGTCATTTGGTCAATTTCTTTTTCTTGCTTTTAAACTTAACCCAAGCATTCGTTAGCTCTCTTATGATTGTGTCGTCTCGTCCAAAATTGAGATCGAATTTGATGCGAGAGTATTAACTCAGGAAAGACAGCTTCTTGACGCATAGAGCTTTCTGTGATGTCTTGGTGGAAGAAAGTGCACGAACAAGCTTTGTTCCTCAAGCACCTGCTAGAATCCCTCAGATTTTTACTGGGTATTATCCAGGGTATGGAGTTTCGACAGAAACATTGGGGAGTTTGATCCACCAGGTCAATTCCAGCGTGCCTGATTTGATGCAAACCATGAACATGTTTGCGACTTCGTCGCCGTCCTCGTGGGTGAAACCATACCCGCCAGAAGCATCATTCGAAAGAATTGCCAGTCTGGCCATTTCTGGGGCGCCTCGCCTGCTGAAGGAGGAGGAAGAAGAAGAAGAGAACAAAGGAGGCTTGTCGTATAGTGTGAGCTCCTTGTATTGTAGCAATTATCAAAGCCCATCGTCGCAAGCAGGCTTGGCTCAGCCTCATTACATGTCACCACCCACTTCACTGTTACAAAAAGTAAACCAGATGGGATCTACAGGCAGCAACCATATCAACATTTTTGGGTTCACGGGTGGCTCCTTGCCTCTCTCCTACAGCACGTCGTCGTTTAGAACTGTCGATCAGGTGGGACTGTATTTCAAGAACACAGCAAATCCAACTGATCAAAACTTGAACGACTTGGTGGATTCACAAGCGGTGGTAAGCACCAGTGTTGGAGTTGGAGGTGATGATGGTCGTGGAATGGTATTGAATGATTCGAAGACGAGCCACTTTATGAGAAGCGGAGAGAATGTGAATGAAATGGAATTGGGTGGTTTAACTAGAGATTTTCTAGGCGTTGGTGAAAAGGAGTTAGCCGAGTTTAATGCAATGGGCTCGGCCGCTCAGCCATGGAGCTGAGCCAGCGCAGTGGACGCATCTCTGGGTTCTGAATTCCAACTCAGCAATTAACTAGCATGGGAAATATTCAGATAGGCATAATGACGGGTTATAAACAGTATTGTTTTGTGTTATAAATGGTGAGTCACGTACGTAGAAGTTAAATATATCTAGCTTAGTATTTTACAGGCTAAGTTGAATTTTAGAAGGTTAAAAAAGATTTCCCGTTGATAAGTAGGCGTAATTTTAGATGGCTACGTCACTTTCATTCAAAAAGAATGGTTTTTTTTCCCCCCAATATATATCACTAAAAATGTTGACATGCCTGTTCACTTGGCTAGTTGGCTTTGGCTTTGTCCTTCGAGACTAGCTAGAATCGGTAATCTTTACCTTTTCTGCAAGCTGCATTGTCTTAATGTTACTTCTACAGTGTAATTTCTTTAATGTCCCAGTACAGGGTTCGAACCCTTGACATGTGGGAGGATTATCATCCTCAACACTAATATTGACAATCCCTGCAGAGGGTTCACTCCCATCAATGTTTGGTGTGATTTCCCTTTTTTTAAAAAAAAAAAAATTTGATTGCTTGTAATTTCCTTTTGTGCATGCATGATTTATAACGATGAAGTGAGATTAAGTATTTACTCCCAACAATGTTTGGGGTGATTTTCCTTTTTAAAAAAATGTACTTTTGTCATTAAATAATGAAGCAATATGACTAATATAAATTACAATCAACCAAATTTTTAAGAGTGGATTGCATTGCATGCTCCCCAAAACCAATATATTTGCATAAAAAGCTTAGTATAGAATTTGAAACAATTTGGCTGGCCCAAAAACCTCTCTTTCAATTAAGTCTTTCAGTATAAAGATGGAATTCTCCTTTTATGAAATAAATGAATATTTTGTTGAGAATAAATGGATTCTGATTGTTATTTACGAACTTCTTGTTATAAAATTCATTTGGATAAGCAGATGTTTTATTATTAATAAATTGACTTTAAGTATTATTTATAGATGTTTTATTGTGTATTTTATGAAGGGATGATTTTGTCTTTTCTCCTAAATATAATTGCAACAGAAGCCTTTAGGCTTTTAAAATTATTTCAAATTCTATTGCGTCTTTTATTGCAATAGCACAATTCTCCCTTTTTTTTAAAAAAAAAAAAGAAAAATAACACCAAACATTGTTGAGAATAAACACTTTAATCACTTCATGGGCATATATCTATGTGTTTCCCTTTTTTTCAAAAAAAAAAAACCATAATCTTTAGTCTTTATAATTTTATTGGGCTTCGCTTTTAGTCTCTATAATTTTTTTCTAATGTTTTCAATCATTATAAGGATTAAAAATACTAAAAAATTTAAAATTATAGGAACCTAAAAAATAAATCACTCAATCTTTCTGAAACTATAAGAATTGAAACTATTGAAAAAAACACTATAGAGACTGAATTAAAAATAAAATCTAATAAAATTATAGGGATTAATGAATATGTTTTCACTTTTTTTAGATTGGGCATATGTATGTTTTTTACTTTTTTTTGTTATATGTAATTATGTGTGTTTGCTTTGTGTAACCATTACATGCTCTTTCGTTTCTTATGCCTATACCTGTGTGAGCCCAAGCACTTAGGCCTTGTTTGGTATCTGGAATAATTTTGATAGAATGGAATTGGGAGCAAGAATGAGAGTGGGCGTGGGAATAAGGATATGAAAGAGATTTAAAAACACGTTTGGTATGTCAAACAAATGGTGATATAATTTTTATTTTATAAACATAATTACAATAGTAAAACAGCAAAACAACCTGTTCAAATGGACTTGCATACACCTCTTCTCATTTCCTGCTGCAATCCTTCTTCCTCATCGGAGGAAAACTTCCAGAGACCACATCATAGTTTCAAAATTAGGAGAATGACAAATAAAAATTTTGTAAGAACATTAATATTAAATTAGGATTTTTCAACACTAACGTTTCCAAATTTCAATACTTCTTTTATCATGTTTCAATATTAAAATTTTAAGTTTGGCATTAATGTTCTTATAGAATCTTTACTTATCATTCTCCCTTAAAAATTTGGTTTGAAGAAATCACGAACAAGCAAATCTAAAAATCAAGAATCAAGAAATAACAAAAATAGCTTTGCCATCATAAGATCTGGAATCTAGGTCCTTTTTTTAATGAACTAGACAAACAAGTGTGGTTTTGCTGCCGTCGAACTCAACCCATATTTGGCAAATACTGACCGGATCCATAAAAATGGAGAGTGACGAAGAAGCTTTGATTGATAGTGAGATTGGCAATGAAGGAGTTGAGGGAAAATGGTTTCACTTCTAATTTGGAAAACATGTTTCGAAAACAAGCTTCCATTGATGATGAGAAGCTTCAGTTGACTCGAACATCAAAGAACCCAATGACGAAAAGGGAGAGTGACGGAGAAGGTTGAACAAGAGGAAAGACATGTAGTTGTCAGGAGGGACGAAGCTTGGCTTGTCAACTGCAATGGCTGGAAGGAAGAGATGTGAGAGCTTTTTTGGTGAATTAAGGGGGGAAAAATGAAATGGTGCTCTTGTCCATAAAATTCATAATCAGATATTTTTGTCTAAAAAAAATTCTTTCCCATGAAATGGATCCCATTCCCATAGTCTATTGATGGAATGGGAATTACTTCAAATGAGATAATAGACCATTCCATTGGAATGGTCGCTACCTTACACCAAACGAGGTAGTGAGCCATTTTTTTTCCATCACCGTACACCTCATTATCTCGTACCAACCTGGGTCTTAGGGTATTTATGTGCAGTCACAAAACCAAAAATATTTAGTAAAACTATGCTTCAATTGGTAAAGATTTAGTTCATAAGCTCTAAGGTTATGGTTCAAATTTTGCGACCAATGTGAAGGTTTTGCCCATGATGCAATCTATGAGTTTTTTTTTTTTTTTAGGAACTTGAAAGCATGTTATAACTTTGGTGAGTTCTAGAAATCCAAATTATGCTATGTTTGAATACATATGGATTTAGATTTGAACTAAATTCTTTATTTAGGTAATTAAAAATGTATGCATTTGGATTTAATCCAAATTCAAATCAAAGTTCCGCCTCAATCTCTTTGTAATTTGAAATATTTTCTAAACCCTTATTATTTCAAATTTCAACTCAATTTCTTTTGTAATTTGACCTAAATCTATGAAGGCTTAATCGGCCTACCAACGATAATTGGACTGGATCATCGAAGTTGATGAAAACAAGCCTCCACAATTGACAAGGATCAAACGACCAACTTTCACCAGGATGAAAGGCTGACTTCGATCGAGATTGGATTGACAGTGACAATTGAGATTGGATAGCAGCATTCTATCAAGACCGGACGGTAGACTTCCATTGAGATTACATAGACGGCGATGACCAGGACAGGACAGCCGACTTCCACTAGGATTGATTTGACAGTGACTATCGGGACTAGATGGTCAACTTCCATTGGGACCAGATCGATAGTGACAATCGAGACCAAATAGCTAACTTCCACCAGAGTCAAACTGATGACTACCACTAGGATCAGACGAATAACTTTCACAGGGACCAGACGAATGGTAATGACGTGGACAGGATGGCCTTCTTTCAATAGAAACGATAGTAGTTCGGTCCAAGTAGAAGTCAACCATTCAGTCCCGGTGGCAATAGTTGGTTCGATCTTAGTGGTCTCCATCGATCCTGTCCAGGTGAAAGTTGGTTGTCTAATCCTGGTGGTCCTTGTCGATCTGATCCTTGCAGAAGTCAACTGTTTGGTCCCAATAGTAGTTGACCATCCCATTCCAATCATCACCAATGCTACAATCCTAGTTAGCTTTGACTGTTTAATTCCGATGAAAGTTGGCCATTCGGACCGTCAACTTTGACTAGATGTCCAAGTTTCTTTTAAATTCAAGTATAGAATTTAAAATTTTACTTTAGATCCAAACAACATATTTTAATATTATAATTTAAAATTTGTTATATTATCCAAACAAAGAATTTTAAATATATAAATTTTAAATATGAAATTTTAAATCTAAATTCACAATTTAAATTCACCTATCCAAATACAACCTAAACTTAAATTTAAAAAATTATTTGGGAAGGGGCAAAATTAATGCTAGTCATTCTGAATTATTTGAATATTATTGAATATATGCATGTATGTGATGGCTTTGTGCTTGTTTGAATTTCTTTTATAATCAATTATTTTAACTGAAACCATGGTTTGGGTAAAAAATACCCAAGCACTTATATTTTTTTTTATAATCAATTATTTGTATCCAAACCATGCTTTTCCATAAGCTGAGACAAGTAGCTTATTCAATTAAATTATGGCCTCGTTTGGATTTCAATTGAATATAATTGATTATCAAAAAATTGATCAATGTAATTGGTTTTAATTGTAATTAATTACATTATAATGTGATCATGTCTAAATATTATTTTTCTAAAATTGATCTTGACAAAAATGGAGATGTTTGGATGATTTAGTTAAAATTAGTTTCAAATATACAAATTATTATAAAGGACATTGCCTTTAAAAATTAAAATACTGATAAAATTATATTATTAAATTTGTTCAACTTTATTTAACAAGTAAAATATATTATTTAGCCTATATTACTGATTAATTAAAGAAATTTAAATTATATTATATTGCAATATTGATAATTTGATGAATGTAAAAATAAATCACTATATCAAAGTTCAAATAAATTTATATGATATTTAACATATATGATTAATTATAAAAATTATATTTACTAATCATATTAAAAATAGAAGAATCTTTTTTAGTTTCAGCCATTAATATTATATAATATAATATTTTATTTAAGAGATGGGGTCTTGGTATTGTATTATAATATCAAGACCCCATATTGTTGCAGGAACCTTGAAAATGAGTCTGATGGTGGAACAACAACAGGAGATGGGAGGAGGACGACGCTAGAGAGAAATTATCAAATGGTAGGAAGAGAAGCCAAATGCATAGCATGGATTTGGAGAAAAGTTAAGAGCACACACATGGGCATTTTTGGCAAGTAAAGATTCGGGCACAAAATAAATGAGGCTAACAAAAACAATAAAAAATAAGAAGCGACTCCATGTTGCTTAGCATAGAACAACGTTTTAGGATGGAAAATTGATTATAAAAAAAATAGAGGTGTTTTGGAATTTTTTTTTTTTTTTTTTTACCAAAATCATGGTTTAGGGACACAACTGATTATAAATGCCCATCCAAGGAGGCACCATAACATTAACTCATTTATTACTTGTTAGATTTTTTGCCTTCAGCGAATTTCAGATTTCATTCGAGCTTCAATATATCTTACACTAGCTGCGCTTCGTCCTCCTCCCATCTCCAGCGAGCACATATTCTGACCAGCTTCTCCATTGTCCGACCTAACTCTATGATTTCTAGCAAGCTTCAGATCTGTTTGTTAGAAAATACCTCCAGCTACGCGTCTCTTTGTCGGCCCCTCCCATCTCCATCCTGATCTTCAATCTGCTTGGCCTTGTGCGGCAAGTTCATCCCTAGTGCTTCTCACTAATATAACATTCTTAGTGCTTGGCCTCCCATTTCTGATTTGCTTACAGGGGTTTACAAAGTGCTTCATGAGGATATTGGCGTGGGATATAAGAAATGGTATTTGAGAGAAGATTTACGATCTACAAAAGTGGGTTTATTTCTTAATTTTTTTTTTTTTTGGGGTGGGGTTAGGTATTTAGGCTCAGATGGGCATACAATGGGATGGAAAAGAAATAATAATAGTGAAGTAAATTCTTATACTATAATTTAATAACATTATATTTGTTAAATAGCTTTCAATAAATTAATAATCTTATATACAATTTTATCATATTGATTAATTTTAATTATAATTAATTAGGTTCAACTGAAATTTAAATGAGGCCTTCAACGTTTAGACCCTTTAATTTGTCATTCTTAAGATATCCGCGACAACTAGTAAGGTCCATGTTAACTAGGCCCAGAAACTACCGGTCTGCACCATCAGAACGTTAGATCCTTTCAATTTGCCGTGATTTTGCGTCTTCTTTTCTCTGTTCTGCTCATCTGCGGTGCCTAAATACTAATTAGAAAGTTCATAAAAGTTTTGTTTTGCTTTGGGATGACAATAATATCTTGGCCAGAAATTAGTTTAAACATTCAACTTCCCACTGTGCGAGACTGTGAAGTTTATATTAGCCAGAGAAAATTAAGACGACAATTTTAACGAGCAAGTGAACTTTTTTCAGAGAGAGAGAGAGAGAGAGAGACTTGGACAACAATGAACACATTAAGTTAATTACAAAACTTTATTCACAACAAATTAATCGTAATTCAAATTTTATCCAAACACCAGCACACAGACAAACGAATAGCGCCTTCGTCCCTAATTAATAATGACACTATGCTATCAAAACAAACCACACCCCACAGCCAAAAAGGAAAGAACAGACGATTACGATAAGAAAGCAAAGAAGTAAACATGAGAACAAAAAAAAAAAATGGACCTCCTCCTTCAACTTTCACTGTCTTGTCATCGTCACATGATCATGGCTCCCGCCACAAATGCAACTCCAACCGCAAGACGTACCCACATTACCTCTACCTTCAGACCCATGGAACTGTTCGCCGGAACGGCTTTACCGTTACTGTCACCGTCATCATCACCACCGCTCTGATCCCCTCCGGCTGCCTTAGTTTTATCAGTTTTAGGCGAGTCTCCCTTTGCGGCAGCTGGGCCCGGTGCCGGGGCACTAGCCTTAGGAAGCACGATGTCAAGTGGAAGAAGCACCTTGTCCACCTGATATATGGCAAGTTTGTTGTCCGTATACACGGTTCCCGTCAAGGAGGCATTGACGGCGCCGGTGGTCATGCTGACCTGGTTGCCCCCGTACATGGTGACGTTAAGTTGAAGCCTCTTGGGGTCGTCGCCGGCCTGAGTCTGAACGGGGTTGGTGAGGGTGTCGAAGTTGGAGATAGAGATGTAGGTGGAAATGGTATGGAACTGTAAAAGCTCCACCTTTTGCCTGTCATTGAGAGAGTTAAGAAATCCTGCTTTAAGTTTCGAGAAGGCGGCGTCCTCAGGGGCGAAAATGGTCAATCCGCCGGAGCCGGAGGTGGCTAGTTGAGAATTGAGCTGGTTGATCAACTGGGTGGTCTTGAGGAGGCGGATAAGGACGGTGAATCTCTTGGCCTTCCTGAGTATTTGCACAATATCAATGGAGAGAGTTTTAGGGACCACCGCCACTGCGGGCCCAGGGGCGGCGCTGGGCGTGTTCGGTACCAGGGGAACAGTGCTAAGTCCCGGGGCAGGAGCAGCAGCGGCCGGAGACGTGGCCGGGAGAGAAGTGGGAGGCGCCGGCAAGGTCGCGGGTGGTGGTGATGTCGAGACTACCGGAGGAGCTGCTGCGGGAGCTTTAACCGGAGATAACTGGGCTGAGGTGGTGGTGGAGGAATAGAAGATGGCGAGCAGCAGCAGCAGCGGGGCGGAGAAAATAGAGACGGTGGTCGACATGTTGATCTGAGTGTGTTTGGATGAATAACTCGGGAAACAATGCTGCAATGTGGGGCGTAGAGAGAGTGTGGGGGAAAATGGAGAGAAAGGGGCTGGTTTTAAGGAGGGAGGGAGGATGGGAAAGGTAGGTACAAGGTTTAATTGGAGCTGAGAGTTTGAGTTTGGAGATCATGTCTGCTCACCTGTGATGGAGAGGTGTTGCGTGATTGATATATTGTTTAGCGATGGATGATTGAGATGTTTGGGAGTGAGAATATCAGTTTGGTTACAAATAATAATGATTTGGATGCATGTATTGTGTAGAAATGAGAGGTGGGAGTTCTGTAACTGTAAAAGGTTCGGTATTTCCATCAACCAGAGGATGCCGAGTAACCAAATGATTAGTGTTTCGAGATTACAGTGTGGCCTAGCTTGTCTTGCATGTTTTGGCAAGGATTGCACAACTACATAAAAACATATGCCTCATGACACGCTATCTTACTCTTCCGGGTTGAGATTCTGGTCTTGTGGAGCCTCGAAAGTAGAAACTTGTACGAGAACGATACTGTGTGTTTCTCGTTTTTCTTCCGAGCTTTGTCCAACTTTTGTCAAAATTTCTCTTGGGCCCATCAAGGGAAAATGCACAGCATCAAGGCCTGATCTCCAAAGCCTTGTTTGTATTTCGGCCAGTCCGAAGCCTTGTTTAACGTGGCGGAGTCTGGAGGAGTGGAGGGCAATTAAATGGAATGAATAAGTAAGGAACGGCGTACAAAGACATGTATTAATTATTATTTTATTATTTGAGAATTTCCTGAAGGAAAAAATTATGAAAATCAATTACTTGATTTTTTTTGGCTCTTATATCGAGTCCTCAATTTTATTTTTTTCATAGGGTTGATATAGGCTTTGTAGGCCCGGCGTCTAAAACCTATATGATTTTTAAAGCATTGGGGTGGTATTCAGCCACGGCAAAGAGTCGTTTTTCAAGTGCATGGCTATAGTGCAGGGGCGGCTTAAAAAAGTTAATTTTATTTGTTAAAAATTTTAATTTATCTCCATGTAAAATATATTCTCTTAAAAATAATGTGATGGTAAATAGTGACATTTGTTTAAAAAATGATAAAGTTATGCACTATTTTATTTTTTCATAGTTAACAAATCAATTTGAAAGTTTATATAAAAGTAAAAATATTATATTCTTAAAAGCTTTTTATGATAGTTGATAATGATAAAATCAACTTACCACCTACAATGTATAAAAAATCTCGTTCAGTCAAATTTATATTCATAAGAATTAAAAAAAAAATACTCCCATCTTAAATTATAAAACATTTTTACAATAGATTTGACATCAAAATTTTTAATATATAAAATATTTTAAAAAAATTAAGATTTTACCAAATAGATTTATTTTAAAATTATCTTTTATCTTTTTATTTAGTTTTCGTTCCTCTTTCTTTTCTTTAAAAATTTGTATTTTTTATTTTAAAAAATATTATTAAGTGTAGTTAATAAAATTTATTAATATATAAAATTTTATTTAAAAATATCACGATTGGGCCTGATAAGCCATCAGTTAATGGAAATAAGAGCATTACAGAGATTTTCAGAGCAAAAGTAAGAAAATGAGAAAAAACAAGAAGAAGTTCTCGCTTTGAAAATCTGAAAAATCTCTGTAATGCTCTTATTTCCATTCAACCAAAAAAAAAAAAAACAAGAAAGTGAGAAGAAGGTAGAGAATGATGTGAAAAATGAAGCTGATTTGAGTATGAAGAGTGATGGAAAGCGAAAACAACACATTCACGAACCCCAAATGCTATGCTTCCAAAATGGATGCCCCACCTTCAACCCTTCCCACGTTACCCCATTTCTGCTTCCGAACCCCAATTTTAATCTCTCTCCAATCTTTTCACCAATCTGTCCTTTTCTCTTTTCCTCCATAAAATCCCCCCTCCTCTGTTTCTCATGCATCTTCATCTTCTAGTTCCCAGCACTACCATTCCTATCTTTTCCAGAATCACGATGAAGCCTTCTCGCTTGTTCTTCTCATTCGCACTCCTACTGGTTTCCCTCCGTTATTCCACCACCACCGCTGCCCAATCTCCGGCAATGGCCCCTGTAAAGGCCGCCCCTGTTGCTTCGCCGGCCGCTGCCCCTGCAGCCCTGGTCCCCACGTTACCGCAGACGCCTTCAGACAACATCCCCGACACGGCCTCCACCGACATCATCGGTATCCTCAGAAAGGCCAAGTCCTTCAGCGTCTTCATTCGCCTCCTCAAAACCACCCAGCTCATCAACCAGGTCAACTCCCAGCTCATGACCACAAAATCTGGAGGCCTGACCATTTTCGCTCCAGATGACTCCGCCTTCTCCGAACTCAAAGCTGGGTTCCTCAACTCCCTCGGCGATAGCCAGAAGCTCGAGCTTCTGCAGTTCCACATTCTTCCGAACTACGTCACCAGCAACAACTTTGACACCCTGACGAATCCGGTCCGGACCCTGGCCGGAGACAAGCCGGGGAGGGCTGACCTTAACGTGACGAGTTATGGCGGTAGCGTGAACATATCCACGGGGGTGGTGAATACCACGGTGACGGGCATTGTGTATACGGACAGGCGTCTTGCCATGTACAAGGTGGGCAAGGTCCTCCTTCCACTCGACTTCTATGCTTCTAACACTCCCGCGGCGGCTCCGGCCCTGGCTCCGGCAGCCGCGGGGGCGAAGGCGCCTAAAGCAGATAAGGATGAGCCGCCATCCTCGGAGAATTCCTCAGGCTCGTCGCAGGCTACTCCCAGTAAGGAAGACTCTGGTGATGTTAGATTAATCAGCTTCAACGGCATGTGGGTGTCCCTTGGAGTTGCTTTCGTTGCAGTATTCACAATATAAACCTGAGTAGGATCGTAATATATTTTCCGGGCTTTGATAAATGCATACATACATACATATACACGTGATTTTATATGATAAAGTGATAAAGGAGGGAATATAGGTGTGGTTATCAGAGAGGGATACCGATCCCACGCAAGCCTTTTTTTTTCCCCCTTCTTCTTCTCTTGGTGCCTCTTTGCCAGTTCACGTCTATGAATTGATTTTAATACATCGTTTGATTTTGGACAATTTGAATGTATATCCCGCATCTTGTGCGCAAGTCAATAATGGACAAGGCATTTTAATTGGACCCCTTTGTGTAGCATTGCATAATATGGAGAGACCGAAGTTCAAAATAAACCAAGCATGCACAGTTGAGAATGAATTCCAAAGATTCTTGGAGGGATAAATGATTAGGTAAATTGTGAAGCGAAATAGAAAAGGAACAGATTATTTTATGTTTGGTTTTTAATCTCATTTTTTGTTTTTTAAAATTATTTTGTGATGCAATTTTTAAAATTGTTTTTCAAAACAAAATAAAATAAAAATTCATTTGGTTATATCAATTAAAAATAATTTTAAAATTTTAAAAAAATTTGATAATGATGATTATAAACAGTTAATGGTGGTGATTAATAATACAAACTTATCAAAATAACTAGAATTTTCAATAATTAAATATAATGTACTTTGAAAACAAGAAAATAAAACAAAAATAGCTTGAAGTTGTTTCTATTTTTTATTTTTAAAAACAAAAAATGAAAACAATTGTGAAAATAATTAACAAAAAATACTTATCCGAACAAATTTTAAATTTATACCGATACAAATCTCCACCAGCACTATAAATTAATATGACGTTGGAATTTAGTGTAGTTAATAAAATCATAAAAGTAATATTATATTAGGAACGAGTGGAGTGCAAATTCATGTTCTGGTTTTCATCATCAAATAAAGGCAAGCCTCCCAACTAACTTCCAGTTCTTTGAACAAGAGCTTCGACAACACACCATCTCTCAGCAATGGTCACCATGATTCAGCCGATGCTTCCTATATTTGTTTGTTGGCCATCGTGAACATCACTTGCACACTGTGTTCAAGTGATAAACAAGGCAGGAGGAAGCGAGATTGAAAAGGCCCGTGCCAACCGAAAGTGAGGAGCATAATCTGAATGAGTGACCTTAGTATTATTCAAGTATTGATTAAAATGGCCTTGTACGACATGAATTTTATTTATTGCGTCATTTTTGTATTGATCATATTGTGTTGTCAAAGGAACACATTTTGTCCCCTTTCTCGCTCGAAGTTTCTATCCCAAAAGCATGCATCACCCTTGATGAAAAGTCAAATAGCTCCAAAGTCACAAAAGAGGAGCTTCCTATAGCCATTTTCTTTTTCTTGCAATCGAGTGTTCCAAAGCCTAATGTTTCATTCCATTTCAGGGTTTTTCAAGCCGTTTCACATACTGCGAGGTGATGCACCTCTCAAAAGGAAGGGGGAAGGGGATGCCCCAAATATATAGGATATATATATATATATATATATTAAAATGGAAGACAAGCTGAATTTGAGAAGTAATGTCGATTTACCTATTAATTTGTTTAATCAAAAGCTATTCTCAGCTAGCATTCAGTCTCATGTGTCTTGATCATAAAGTCCAAAAAGAATTCCGCCATTTATGGAACTAATTAGAAGCAACATCAATCATCTTCTTTGGATGATGGAAGAACCGATAATTGTTTTTATCGGTTAGATTGCTAACTGCACTTGGCTCATGAGCCTTCTTAATATATACTTTTTTTTGAGCCCTTAGCCATATCTAATGTCTATGCAAATGCAAGACTCTTAATGCTAAAGTTCAAGAGATCAAGCTGGCAAAAGACTATCTATAAATCAGCATCTCGACATGAGGTTGCGCGGTGTGTAAAAAGAAAGAAGGAAGGAAGGAAGGAAGGAAGACAAAGGTCCTCAAGTCGGTGTACCCTGGCCATTCTGTTGATGCACAGCCTCTAGACGTTCCTTGGCCCGATGAACTTTTGACTGAAGATAGAAACTTCCGCTCTTCGCATTGCTTTCAAACAAATTGTCATATCTCTGCGCAGAAGAATGTTTTAGAAATCGACATATAATAAATACGTAAATAACTGGAAACATGCTAAACACTTGCTAACCTTCACAATCTCTTCCCAGGGGGTTTCCTCCGAAACACCAAGAATCTGCCGAGCTTCTTGCTCTGTCATGACTTTGTTAGCTCTGCGAATGGTATTCTGTATTGTCTCTTGCGCAACACCATTTTTTGAGGCATCTGCAACAACTTGGTGTCAAGAACATGACAGAATAAACAGCCACGAAACATTGGCAGGGACTTGAGAGAACTTAATTCTTCCACGGCATGATAAGGACTCTACTATGATATATTCATCAATCATAAACGGACCGCACAAATTATTGTGTAAAAGATTAGTTCCCTAACCAAATATGAACCTAACAAAACCTGACACGAGGAGTATAATTTAAGAATTAAATATTTAGATTAGAAATAACTGGAGGTAGAAGTATAGGTTGCAATGTGCCAAAGACCAGGAGTCGCTCAAGAAATTCCATAAAAGGTCACCAAGAAGGAGGAGAAAGAATAAGTTTGAAGAACCGTAGCTTCAAAAAAAAAAAGGCATATTAGTAAGAGTTACTTCTAAAATTGCCTAGGAGATGTCAAAATTCTAGCAGACAGAAACTTTAAATTTCATAGCGTTGAAGACCATCTGATCAACTCTCCTTGATGATGTCTCCAATAGCATTCTTCGCATATATCCAAATCACCTTCATCAATTTTCTATGCTCCTCGAGAGGTGTCATAGTAACAGTCACTAAAAACAACAACTTAGAACCTACAAACTCCCATCAAACTATATTCAATCAAATATAGTGCACAAATTGCAAATCCATGCACAGAAATAATAAATCTAATGAACTTTTCTTTTTTTTCCCTGCTAGATAATATAAGAAACTCACTAGCAAGAGCTTGACGATATGCTTGAACAAATGCCCTAGCCAAAATACCACCGCCCATCACAATTAGGTTTGCAAGAATCTTTGCAGCCTGTGCAAACAACACAATCAAACTTGAGATCATATTCAGAATCTGCAATATTGCCTAGACAGGTATTTCCATAACAGGAATAGGGTTGTAAAAAAGAAATTTACAAATAGTAGATTCTATCATCTGCCATCTACTTCCAAGACCAACACCTCGTCACTCATAATTCAAAAAATGAGATTATTCATCAATTAAGCATTCACATTATTATTTCAGTTAAAAGTATAAGCAAATATACAATAAGTTGGTTAAGTGACAACGATAGAAAACACATTGGAGTTGAATGAGACTCTTTAAATCACTACGTAGCAGAACTAATTTCAAGTAAAACCACAAGAGACTAAATTATAATTATAATTTACCTTAAGGAAAAGGAAGATTTCTAAAATAAATATGTTCCAACAGGGGAGCCTACTTTTCTTTCAGCATATCAAGTCAACGTAATTTCCACTTTCTATCCTATTTTTCTATTTCCTTCAAAAATAGAGAAGAAAATTTATAACAAGTAATCCCGTTAAACTTACCATAGCAAAAGAATCAGCCAAATAACCACTCAGAAGCCAAAGCTTGAATTCTCCTCTGTGAATGGGGATTTTATGGGTGTCGGAGGATTATATTTACCCTGCAACCAAGGTCATTTGGAATCAGTGACTGATTCATGAAAAAGAAGACATGATGTCAGATTAGCACAGTAGAAAAAGGAAATGGGCAGTCAGGTTCACACTTCTAAATGCGAGAAAATATCATTAACATGCATAAGCCCTCAAGAAACTGTAAATCAATCAAACTTCACTACAGCACATATTAATGATAATCACAGAATTTGAGTTTGATTGCAACAGTCGATGACACAATAACAGGAAGTAAGGCAGGGATTCAAAGGGCAACGGATCATAAACTCACGTATCCATAGAAACAAAACAACAAAGGGCGAATGTAATGTATTTTATGTCACTAGCATAATTCAATGATGGGTTGGGATGTGAATTTGTAGGTTCAAGTTAACCTAACGACTTTTGATTAATGCAACAAAAACATAGAAGCGGAAAAGAGAAGCAACTTAGAAGCAGAGATATTGATGCAATGATCAATATACCCTTCAAACAGGTTGATGCAAAACCAATAAGGAATCCATAGGCAGAATCAAGAGCCAGAAATAAGGAGCTCAGAGATAAAATCAATATCCCTTGAATCAATCCCATTTCGGACTCCATTTTGCTGCAGAACTTAAAATAGGCAGAATATGAAAAACTAAATAATCTGAGAACATATTCCGAACCATATCAAACCACTTGAACCCTAATTTTCGAAATTCACAGATAGCAAATAATGGGTCGAATCACCTCAGACCATGATTCATCCATCTCGTATGGATTCCAAGCCATGGCCGAGACCAGAGTCTATCGAATTGCGAAAAAAGGTGAAGGGAAAGGGAAGGAGAGACCTCGGGAAGGAAACACCGCCATGGAACAAGGAGAGGGAAAACATACCTGAAGGAGAGGACGAAGACTGACAGGAACTAGCAGAACAGGGGTTGAGCTGACGAAGGCATGGAGACAGAACAGGGACCACCAGCACGGACGAGCTTCACGCACCCCGGGAGAGGGTAGTGGACGACGGTTGGAGGAGGGAAGGGCGAGAAGACGAGGGGAGGCAGTGAGGATGTGCTCATGGGCTGGGCGGTTGCCTTACTCAAATCCCACGATACTTCGGCCTGACCCGATCCACTAATAGCCCGATTGATTTTTTATTTTATGAAGTGGAGTGGAGAAAAAAGTGTTTTATTCCAAGAGTTGTGGTAAAGTGGAGAAAATTTATATGCTTAATTTTATATATTTAAAGTGTTGGTATTTAATTGAATCAAAACATGTAAAATTTTTATGAATTATTTATTCTATAATAAATTTTGTTATTAATTAAACTAATATATTAAAATTCACATATTATGATTTGATTGGCTATAAGTATATTAAGTATATAAGATTAAGTATATAAGTTTTGCCCATTTAGATTATAATTCTCACAGTTTTTTTTTCCATCAAGAAATAAGTCTTTAAAATTATGGCCAACTTTGATTAAGATTCTTAGAGAGAATAGGTCACTAATGCAATAATGTTTTATAATATGAGGACTTTGATCAAGGTCAGTTAGAATTTTCATGATTTGATTTTTCAATAACAAAATACAAAAATCTTGATTCAAATTGATGGGGACTCCAAAAAAAAAACAATTTTTTTTTCCCTGTGTTTGTTCTAATTTCCTTGTTAAGAGGTTAGCATGTTAGACACTCTCCCTTTTTCATACTAAATGTTCTAAATTTATCACTTTCACAATAAATAATGTGGTAAATATATAATTTAATTAAGCAAAAGTATGAATATACTTTATCTTGTTGGTAGATATGGACTTTGTTTTGATCTTAAATGTAAGATCTTAATTTTCTTTAGGGTAAAAAAAGTAAATTAGTCTCTAAATCATAAATTTATGAGTTTCTGAAATCATATACTTATTTTTATGTAATGTTCCGTCAACCTTATCACACTTGTCAAACCTTCCAATCCTCTTGTAGATGAGGATGTTCTTTATTAGAGGCTTTCTACTAATGATAACTTCACAAATAAATCTGTTTATAAGACTGTTGAGAATTACAAAGACAACACTAACTCTAATATTTGGTCCAAGATTTAAAAATGAAAAAATGACAATTAAGTCTCAAAATAATGAATTAATACCAATTAAGTTCCTAACAAATTTTTTTAAAAAATAAGTTAAAAATATTAATCTAAATTGTTACAAATCCATAAGTTTCAATTATGAATAAGCATTTAAATATCAAATATAACTTTTAGATTATAATAAAAAATTTGTAATTGTTTGAATTGATATTTATAATTTATTTTGTAAAAAAATGTTGCCAGGGACTTAATTAGTATTAATTCAATGTTTTGGGACATGACTGTCATTCTCCCTTTGAAAATTGCCCACTTATGAGAAAATTAAATCTTTCCTTTAGAAAGCAACTTGAGACTACTTACAATCTAAGTTTAGTCGCTCTAATGATACCAGCCCTTGGCTCAAGACATGCCCTTTTGGTTGTAACATCTTGGAATCATCTATCCATAGTTTGAGAGATAGCTGCAAAACTATACAGGTTTTGATGAAATTAATGAAACAAACAAAATGTAATACTTTCTTTTGTTTTTTCCCATTACAGGAATAGATACTTTAGAATGCAAAGCATAATGTGAGGAATTCAAATACAAGAAAAATCCACTGGCAAAGATCCTTTGCCCATATATGTTGGAACATTCAGAAAGAAAGATGTAAAAACATATACTGTGAAGAGAGCTCCATAGACAAATATATTGCTTTTACAAGCATCTAAGATATTATTCGTGTTCTAAACCTTCAATCAAAACCCAATTGTTTGCCTCCTTAAAGTGATAGATCAAAAGCAAAATTATGCTCCCCTAAAATAGGATGGGTTATACTTAACATTAACGGATCAGTAAACATTTAAGGTATGGCTACCTGTGGTGGACTCATCTGGATGACAAAGGGAATTGGATCACGTACTTCTCAAAATACTTTAGATACCATCCTAGCATAGTCGCTGAGCTCATAGGTATTCTTAAAGGTCTTATCAATTTGTTGGAATAAAAAGTTCAATAAAGTTAACATCTACTCTAAATCTATTAAAGCACTCACATTCATTTGTAATGAGTTTTCTGTTAATCATTGGCTCACTGAAACTATCAACAAAATTAGAAAACTTGTCATGAGAAATTAGACAATCACCTTCAATCACGTCTTTAGATAGGCAAATAATTGCACTAATTACCCAACTCACCAAGCCTATATCGATAATATGGAAGTTCAGATTTTCGATACCTTATCAACTAGTTGTATCAACCTTTTATATGATGGCATGACCAAAGCTGTATTTTTGCATGGTTTTTTTTGTTCATGGCCTTGATTTAAAAAAATGGTGCAATTTGCCCCTACTTTTAACTAAAACTAATTTTAACCATTAGTTGATAGAAAAAGACCTAAAAAAACTATAAAAAAAACTCAAAAATTACAAAAAAAATCCAAAAATTATAGAAAAATGATTGAAAAACTACAGACAATAACCTAAAAAATTTAAAAAAGACAACAAAATTGTTTGTCCTTTTCACAATTTTCAATTATTTTTTGGTCAAACAATAGTTAAAGTTAACTTCTGATTATAATATTTTTAAGTTGAAGGAAACATTGTATAAAATATAAGTTTAGGATTCTAGACATTCTTGAACATATAATTTAGGGGCCAATTGGCTGTTTTACCCTTTTATTTATTCTTCGCATTTTTTATTTTTTAAACTACTTATAATAATTGCACACCATTGTAACATGCCACTTTTATTTTCAAATCTAAGTGATCTTGAGATAAGATTTTGTGATAATTAGAATTTATCATATAATTGGTCGAGTAAATAAAAATTACTCAAAAAGGAGTTAAAAATATAATTTTCAGAAAAAGAAGAAATTTATAAGATCAAGTGAGATTAAAAGAAAACATTTAAAATAGTGTCCAAATTATCATGTAATGTTTAGCTAATATTAAAAATTATTTAAATTAATTAAATATTTTAAAACTCAAAATAAATCCAAATGTGTATTAATACCAATTTTCAAAAATTGGCAAGTATGGAAGTCAGACTAACAGTCAAGTCTAAAGAAAGAAGAGAAAACACACAAAAAAGAATCTAAACTGATTAGTCTACAATTTAATTTTCAAGGAAAAATTCTCAAAAAAGCTTTTGTTATAGAATAATAGGAGGAGGCTTTTGAAGCTGAAAATTCAATCATCAAATCCATCAATTACCATCCACAACCTAACAAATTAAACAATGACAAGATGATGAAGTAGGAAAAAAATTAGTTGTTCTCAAGTACAAATACAATCACAGTCACTCTATGTGAGATCTAAGACTACATGGGAGTAAAAATATTAGAGCTTCAGTAAAATAAGCTTCAAAAATTTAGAATCCAACTATGCAAATTTCAAGCAAAAAAGATTGGAATTTAATGAAGATAGAGAAAATAAAAGTGAGATCAAGATTGAATAAAGCTTGAGGGTAGAGGAAGAGACTAAGATTGAGAGGGATTGAGTGAGAAACAAGGTTGAGAGAGATTAAATGAGAGCAAGTGAGGTCAAGAATGAGATACCAACTTGAGCTTGCTGAGATTGACAACTGACGGAGAGTCGAAAATGGGTGAGTGAAGTTAGGGTTTCTCTATAAGGTTTATACGATGTGTTTAGATAAGTTTTTTTTTTTTAGATAGAGAGAAAGAGAGATAGGCTGAAAGGGCTGCCTGGCTCAAGCTCTTTTTTTTAGGACTTATTAGGGTTAAACTCTGAAGTCTGATTTCTCTAAAAGTTGCTAATTTTTAAATCTTAAACTCTTATAAAAAAAAGCTTAAATAATTAGCCCTCTAAGTTCAACTCTTATTCTCAACTTCAGTTAGAGATAGAGTGTAAGCTTTTTGAGTACTATTAGATTCCAAAAAACTAATCCTCTTATGATGATATTTTTTGAAAATTAGGTAAGTGATTTGTGTCTCTTTCCTTTTTTTTCATTTTTACATATTTTTGAGATTTGACAAGGAAAAAAATTTAGAGTCAGATAGATTTTAAATTTGTTAATTAGGCGTTTCTAGCTTATTAATAGACTGTTAAAAGAACTAAAAGGCTTAGATTAGTAGTCTATATGTATTTGTTTTACCCAAATTATTGCTTTTGAAGACTTTATAGTAGTTCTTAATAGTTCAATAAACTTAGGGTAAATGAATAATGATTTATTTATGATTTAATATGTTAGAAAATTTCTCTAAAATTTAAATTTATTTATAAACAAGCTGAATATAAAAAATTAGAGCTAAATATATGAATGTGAGAAATTGTATGATAAACTTTAGAGTTAGGGTTTCAGTCCTTTAAAGAGAATTTGAATATGAGAAATTTTTATTAAATTTATAAAGATGAAAAATGGACAACAATTTATAGAAATTAATTTAAATTGAGGGTAATAGTTTAGAGATTAAATGGGATTACTTGTTGGATAGAATAAATTATTAAAACTTATTAAATAATTATATTTATTATTATTAATTTTTGTAGATTTGCATCTTTGCTGGTGGTTTTGTGAATATTACATAATACACAGTTTTAGTTTGAAAAAGAGATAGTTATGGTTATTCTTTTTATATTGCCAAACTGTTATACACTATTAAATATATAAAAATGTTTTTGGGAATGTTGTAACCATTCAACGCTTATTTGATTGATTTTGAAGGGTCAAGAATGACATCATCAATTATATAATTATTTTTTATATATTTTTAACTTGTAAAAATAATATTCCCTTTTGTGAACCAATTTGTGACTTTATTTTGCAAAAGATATTATTTATGTACATACATATTATGAAATGAGATTTTAAATTGATTTATTAATATATATATATATATATATAATTCTCATTTGTTAGTGAGATAATAGATCTCTTTTGTTACTCCTTACAATTTTCAGGTCAGAGTTTTGGAAGGTTATAAGAAAAGGAGTTAGAGAATTGAGCGATAACTCAATTGTCCTGTAGGTATAGGACATGCTCAATTTACACTTTGTTTATTGTTGTGACTTAGGAATGTGTATTTATTGATTTGGAAGCATTTAATAAATTATGGTATTTTGAATCTTTTTAAATTATTTTCAAGAATTATTTTATTTGATTTTGAGATAGCCCTTGTTCTTTTATTAAAGTCTCCTTTCGTTTTTGTTTAACTGATGAAAAATGGTCGTGGGCTTGAAAGGTTTAGTTGTTTTACTGTTATGTCTAATTGACAAATTTGGGTTATTAATATATGACAATTTTTGGTTTATAAAAATAAAAATAAAAATAAAAATAAAATTCTTCTGAATTACATAAATAACAATTTAGACCCTTAAAATGATATAATTTTAATAAAGTTTTTAAGAATCTCTTTGTCAATAATTTTGATAGTAAAAAGATCATTTTACTCTCACTAAAAATAACAAGTTTCAATTATAACTTTTATTCTGTAAATAGCAAGAATTGAACAAAAAATTAAAACTTATCAAATGTAATTTCTGTTATTAAAAAATAAATTTCAATCGCAACTTTTATTTAATGAATGACTTTTATTATGTGAATTGTAAGAGTTAAACAAGAAATTATAATTTGTCAAGCATGATTTCTATTATTAAAAACAAATTTTTAAAATAATAAATTCTTTTCACAACTTTTATTTAAAAAATCATAACTTTTTTTAAAAGAATTGCAAGAGTGGAATAAAAAATCAGAAATTGTCAATAAAAATAAAATGATCTTTTTAATTTAAAATTTATTGATAAAAAAATTATGATATTTTGAATGATTAAATTATTATTTATATAATTTCAATGAATTTTATTATCATTTTTTTTAAAAGCAAGGCTGTTACAGCCACCATTTATTACACATTGACACCTATCATCCAGTTCTTTTTAATTTAAAATTTATTGATAAAAAATTATAATATTTTGAATGGATAAATAATATTTTGAATGGTTAAATTATTATTTATGTAATTTTAATGAATTTTATTATCATTTTTTTTATAAAGCAAGGCTGTTACACCCGCCATCTATTACACATTACACCTATCATCCAGTTCTCATGCCATTTTGATTTTGGTGTCCTAAAGTCGGCAGTAATTTGCCGCCAAAGAAAAATTAACAGCAGTTATTGCGGACACAAAATTAACGGTAAGCAATAACACAAAATTGATTTCTCTTCTCAACGGTTTGAAACCGCAAACAAAATCACATCAATCCTATGCGATTGCTGTTGAAATCACACGAGATAAATACCATAAGATAAGAAAATCAAGCAACTAGATTTAAAGGTAGCTTCTGGACACGAGTATTTTTCAGGACAACATCGACGCTACCGCAACTAAAGCAACTCCAACGGAAACCATGGATGTTCCTTGAACACTGACGGCAACGGAGTTGTGCTTGGTTGTCTGAACCCCATCTTCTTCCGAAGATTCATCTTTACTGGCTTTAGGTGCCTTCGCCAAAGCCGGCGCCAGAGCTGGTGGCTTTGGCTGAAAGAAGTCTAAAGGAAGAAGCACCTTGTCCACATGATAAATCGCAAGCTGCTTATCGGAATACACAACGCCGGTGATCGTGGCATTCACCACACCCGTCGAAATATTCACACTGCTCCCGTAAGCTGTCACGTTCAACTGCAACCTCGTGGGGCTGTCTTCGGCCAGCGTCCGAACATGGTTCGTCAGAGAATCAAAGTTGGAGCTCGACACGTAAGTGGAGAACACGTGGGACTGCAAGAGTTCGATCTTCTGGTTGTCGTCCAGAGAATTCAGGAACCCTGCTTTGAGTTGCGAAAAGGCACCGTCATTGGGAGCAAGAATGGTCAATCCCCCAGACTTTGTGGTGATGAGCTGAGAATTAATCTGGTTGATTATCTGGGTTGTTTTCAGTAATCGGATCAGGAAACTGAAAGATTTCGCTTTTCGTAGGATTTTAATGATGTCATCGGAAGAAAAATCGGAAGCGTCGGAAGAAGGTGATTGGGGCAGCGTGGGGAGTAATGTTTTCGCCGGAGCTAGCGCTGGAGAAGCAGGGGAAGGCTTTGCAGGGGGTTCAGGTGACGCAGCACGTGACTGGGCTGAAGTGATTGAGGAATGCAAAGAGGAGAAGAGGAGGAATGAGAGGAAGAAGAAGGAAGGTCGCTTCATGTTGGTGATGACAAGAGGCTAGTGAGTGAGTGGGACTAGTGGGGAAGAGTGGAGGAAAGTGAATATGTAAAGAGGAAAAGAATTGATGGGGTAGGGTGGGTGAAAGGTTTTAGCTATGAAATAGAAGGATTGGTGCAATTTGTGAAGGTGCGATGGGAGGTTTAAGGTGGCGCATCAGTGAAGGTAAAATTGACACAAGCAGATTAAGATGATGCGGCTACCTAGCTGGCTAGCCACTTCCTGTATTGCTTAAGAATACAGGGAAAATTAGAGACTCTCTTAGTTGGGTGTGAACGTGAGCTTTCCAATGAGCCTGTTACTGCTAATGAAGAGAGCATTATCGCCAATCACTTGGAGGAGCCATGTGATCAGTTCAATAATTAGCAACGCGATGATCATGGGGTTTATCACCCAATGCAAATTTTAGACATGCCTGGGGAGCCTTATATTCGGATGGTCCAGTTGTTTTCAATAACTGCAAATCATCATTTATTTATGGTATTGTTATTATTGCTGGACTGGGCCAGTTTTCTGTGTTTGTTTTAAGCACTCTGCTTTGTCATGTATGTGCTTGATTCCATCCTTTTGTTCAGCCATTCCTAACTCTTTTCACATTGAATTATGTTGATGCTTCATGTCACTAAACCTGACAGCATTTCTTTCCTCCATGGGTAAGATTAACATTGAGACGTTTCAGAATTACGCCAGGATTTCTTTATGGCCTTATATTTTCCACTGACCGTGTAATCCATCTATACTATAATTTAAGCCAGAAGCTTGTCTCTTAAGTTTAAAATCATTGCTTACACCTAATTACTCGCATCTTTTTGGGAATACAACCACACCGAAAGAACGTCATTGTTCTGAAATTAAACCTCGAGGTTAAGATATAGGCACAGCTCGTTGGAATTAAAAAGGATGCCAATTATTGGTTACATAACTTAGAAGCGTTTATTATTTCCCTTGATAGTTTGCCTCATCATGAATGAAAGTTCATCTAATAATCTTTTTCATGCTTCAACCTGGTAATAATCTTTTCTTTTTTTGGGGGCACCAAACCAACAGCCCGGGCCTAAGTAAGAGATTTGGCACTGAATAGTAATGTGGTTTGTTAGAAGAAAATCTATCAGAGAGCATCGTATGAGACAGATACCGCTTGTGTGCTGGCAATGCAAACACAATGTCCTGTGGAAGAGTGGGCCGTGACTTTGCTTGCTATAGTTTCAAACGTAGCATGGCGTGTGGGTTCTGATTTATTTGCATTTCTGATTCAGGCAATGAAAAAGTTGCAAAACTTGACAAATCTACTCGAGCTCTGGCTTGGACGCAATGCAAATAAAGATGTAAACTCGCGTGGACTCTAATGCGTCCAGAAAATTAACTTGAAAAGCAATCGTCCGACTTCAACGATATGATTTGAGGTACGTAGTTTAATATTGTTTTTCCTCAAGTTCTAGACAAAATATTACTTTGACAAGGCAGCCTATAACTCATGATAAGTTTAAATGTTAATTTTATAAAAAGTAAACATTATTTTATGTTTAATTACAAAAATAAAAAATTATTATTTAATTATTTGTAGATTTCATTATATCTTAGTGAATTTATATTTATAAAAAATAATTTACTTATTTACTTATTTTAAAATTTTATAATTTTTATATATTTCCACATTTTTATGATATTCTTTCTTATCTACCTAACAAATTTTTTTGAAAAGCTATTTAAGATTGATTCTCACCATAATAAAAAGCATGATTATTCTATTTGATTTCAAAAATTTAAACAAACATTATAAAATTTCACAAAATAGATTTTTTAAAAAAAAGTGATTCCCCCCCCCCAAAAAAAAAAAACTAACCAAACGGCCTTAAAATGTGAAAAAAGAAGAGATTATATTAATGAAAATAATTTATAGGTTCAATTTCCTTAGCTAATGTTTAACCAAATATGAATATTAAAACTGCTTTTATTTTCTAGCCGCATGCCTTTCATTGCAAGAATACATCAAATTGACCCAAAAAACAAACAAGAGAAAATTAAAAGCCCTTTTTCCTTCCGATGAACAGAGAGTGGTCAAAAGCCTTCAAAAAGCACATATAACTCACGACAAACTGACTTGATTCATATTTCACATAAAAGAATTGGACAAAAGAAAGTAGAAGCGGAAGAAAAGAAAAGGGAGAAAGACTTATTTGGAAAACACTACAAAATGTTGACCGGTCGCCTTCAATTCAATCGAACCCACCCCCAAGAATCATGCAGCAGCAGGAGGAGGAGGAGGAGGAAAACATCGGACCCAATATGCACCACATAGTACATACACATTACATACACGCACGTTGCTTCATTCTTCGTCTTCAACCTCCCTTCCCGATCACAACCAAAACCCTATCACTGCAACTCCAGCAATGAGCCCCCACATCTCTTTCCTCTGTTTCAAGCTTATCGCAGCAGAGTCATCCGCGGGAGAAGCAGGCCCCTCCGCCGCTTTCTTCTTCGAGGCCTTCGTCTTGGCAGTCGCTGGAGCCGGTGCCGGTGCAGGAGTCTTGGCCTCAAAGAAATCCCGGGGAAGAAGCACCTTGTCCACTTGATACACCGCCAGCTGGCTATCCGTATACACGGTTCCGCCTACGGTGGCATTGACAACTCCGGTCGTCATGTTGACTTGGCTGCCAGAACCCGTGACGTTGAGGGCCAAACGATCCGGATCCGCCCCTGCCTGAGTCCGCACGGGGTTGCTCAAAGTGTCGAAGTTTGAGAGGGACACCAATGTGGGCAATATGTGGAATTGAATGAGCTCGTTCTTCTGCTGGTCGTTGAGGGAATTGAGGAATCCCGATTTGAGGCTGGAGAAGGCATTGTCGGTGGGGGCGAAGAGTGTGATGCCACCGCTTGAAGTCAAAAGCTGCGAGTTGATCTGGTTAGCCACTTGGGTTGTCTTGAGAAGACGGATCAGAGTGGTGAATCCCCCGGCCTTGTTGAGGATTCTGATGACGTCTGTGGGAGGCGATGAAGGAGAAGGAGCCGGAGCCGCCGCAGGCGACTGCGCTGAGGCTGTGGAAAGACAGAGAGCAAGAAGAAGAATTGAGAAGTGTTTCATCATGGTGGTCAAGATTGGAGTGATGTGTGTGAGGGTGAGTAGTGAGGAATGGAAGAAGGGGAATTTATGGAGGTTTAGAGAAGGGGTTATCTTGAAGTTAGGATTAAGAAAGGTTAGTGGTTAGGATCTATGGCAATACATGAGATGAAAGGTGGCGCGTCAAAGCATACAGAGAGAAAGAGGGGGGGATTTGGGATGAGTTTAGTAGCCAGTTGGATATTGCTTGGCAAGGAAGGTAACACAGTGAGAGTGGGTGTGTGTGACGAACGAGAATGAAAAAGAAAATAATGATTGCGTAGCATTTACTTGTTAATGTTCTGAATTTAGAAAATGAAAGGAAAGAAGAGGAAGAAGAACACATTGCTTGCCACAATCTTAAGGAAGAAGGACATTATTTGATTTGAATTATTTTTGGCAGACAAAATGAGAGAGCTTGACGCTGAACTCAACCCCATGGATGTTAGCCTATCACCTACGATGAGAATAGCTACTTACTAATTAGTCGGCGTTGATTGTCTGTAGGTCACCTCTGCTCCTTAATTAGTACTTATGATTATGATAATCAATCCCTAATTGGGAAAAGCTACAGGTTTTAAATATAATTAAAAGCTTTATTGCTTTCCGCAGATCACAAATTTCCCCCTTTTACAGGCCATGATCATCTTTTATCAAGAGTTTTATTTATCCCATAAAAACAGAGTATTCATCGTTCATTTATTGTTTTTCCTCTGCATGAGGAGTTCGGAAAAAAGAAATCAGCAGTGGGTTTGTTCTGTTTAATTTCGTCATTCTTACCCAATCAAAACGAGTGTAATTGATCAAGTTATTTTACTGCTTTGGGCAAAATCAAAATCAGACCAATTTTCTATTCAATAAAAAGTTGGCACCAAATATTTAATACTCGCAGCTGCGGAAATAAAATTTTCAAATAACAAATTTCACTTCCACCATTCACAAATTTATGACACCATAAACAACTTCGATTTTCATAATTAGCGTTAGGTATTAATTATTAAATATATAGTATGGATATATTACTAACAACTCATTCATAGATAATATAAAAAATAGATGTTTATGAATATAAAAAAAAATAGAGGTTTATAATAATATATAATTCTAATATAAGATGCTGGGTTCAACTATCAAATCGATTTCGTCAGAATTCCATCCAAATAATTGGTTTTGTTCTCATGTAGAGTAAGTCTGGCCAAAAAAAGGATGAGGAATAAAGTGACTAGATTGAATGGGGATGATGGGAAGTACAAAGGCCCTAGACCAAATGGTTTCTCTGGAATTTTTTTTATCAAAAGGCGTGGAGTGGGTTGAGTTCTGATATTGTTGATATGGTTAGGGAATTTTTTTTATAACAATGTCAGTCTGGGACATGTGAATAGTACCAATGTGATTTTGATTCCTAAAGTTGAGCATGCAGAAAGGGTGGGCCAATTTCAACCTATCGGTTTATGTAACTTTGTTTACAAAATTATCTCTAAAAGACTGTTTAATAGGCTAAAGAGCTTGCTGTCTAGAATTATTTCAGGTCATCAAAGAGCATTTGTTGCTAATAGATTGATTCAGGATAATATTATTATTGTGCATGAGGCATTTAATTACCTAAAGCATAAGAAGAAGGGTATGAAGTGTGGAATGACAGTTAAAATTGACATGAATAAGGCTCATGATAGAGTAAAGTGGGATTTTATTGAAACTATGATGAAGAACGTGGGTTTTAGAGAGAAGTGGGTGGCCTAGATTATGAATTGTGTGAGATTTGTGAGTCTCAATTTGGCTATGACTGGTAAGAAGATTACTGATTTGGGTTTGCAAAGAGGCATAAGGCAAGGAGACCCATTGTCTCCATACCTTTTCATTATAGTTTTTGATGTGTTATATATCATGACTCAATGGTATGTGGAGACGGGCAAGCTTGGAGGTATCAAATTGGTAGGTTTCTAGTAATCTCTCATTGTTTCTTTGCTAGCAATGCCCTTTTTTTTTTTTTTTGTGAATGCCAAGAGGCAGAATTGTAAAGTTTTACAGCATATTCTGCATGCTTATTGCAAGACTTAGAGTCAAACAATAAATTTTGATAAATCATGTGTTTTTTTTTCTAAAATACTCCTGATGATGTTGTAAATGGAGTATTTGTAGTGTTAGAAATTACGGGTAGTAATAATCCTGGAAAGTATTTAGATATGCCTATGTTGTGGGAAAAGTCAAAATCTGATTCTTTGACATTTGTAAAGGATAAAATGGCTACCAGACTCCAAGGGTGGAAACAAAAGTTCCTCACTTTTGTTGGTAGATAAGTCTTAGTGAAAGTTGTAGCGAATGTGATCCCAATTTATCTGATGTCACACTTCCACTTCCCTAAGAAGGTGTGTGCTGATCTTGATAGCATGGTTTTAGAATTTTGGTGAGGCAAAAGGAAAATGAAGGGAAAATTCACTAGAAATTGTGGAAAGTGATGTGTAAAGCCAAGGGTGAAGGGGGAATGGGATTTTGAGATTTTGAGTATTTCAATAAAGCTCTCCTTACAACTTGGAGATTGCTGCAAAATCCAAATGAAATGTGGTGTAGGATGTTGAAGGGTCTTTATTTCCCTGAGTGTGGTCTTTTGAAGGCCCAAAAAGGAGGGAGGGCTTCATAAGGACGGTCAAGTATGCTTGAGGAAAGAGATTTTCTTGCTAAGGATTTGTGTTGGCAGATTAATATTGGTATAAAGGTTTGTATTTTTGGTGATAAATGGATCCCTCATGCTGTTAATCACTCTTTGAATTAGACAGAAGTCTGTGAAGTTTGGAAAAAGTTGAGAGTTTGTAATATTATTTGTGATAGGAAGTGGAATTTTGAGGCAATATATAGAATTTTGAATGTCAAAGACTGGAAATTGATTCAACGGGTCAGGATTCCAATAATGGTGGGTGAGGACATGTGTGTATGGATGGATAATAAGGATGGGGTGTACACTGTAAAGAAGGGGTATAGAGTGGCTAAAAGTAGATTGCAGTATGTCAATCAAGGAATTGGTTGTTCTAACTTTACTTTTGAGAGGTTGTGGGATTGATTGTGGAAAATTAAAATGCCTTTAAAAGTGAGTCATTTTATGTGGAAGGCAATAAACAATGCTTTAGCTACTAAAGATGCATTGTTTAAAAGGGAGTGTGCAAGTAAACCCCAATGTGAAATTTGTAAAACTGATGTTGAAACTGTTGAGCACATGTTTTTATGCCCTTAGGTTAAGAAATGTTGGTTTGGCTCATTGTTGGGTTTGAAGCTTGATGAGAAAGGGATGTGCAGGCTTGATATTTGGTTAGAAGGTTAGTTAATGCAGTAGAAAGAAGTTAATGATTATAATGTGGCTTTTTTTTTCTAGCATCTGTTAGGAAGTATGGAAAACTAGATATGGGTTTATTTTTGAAAAGGTTGATGTGGATGCTATGAGTTGTTTGACAAGAGCTATTAGATTAACAAATGAAGCAAAAGGATGGGGGAGTCAATTTTCATTAGGAATTTGGCTAAAGGCAGCTCTACATCAGATGACAGTTGTGATGAGAGCTTTGGTATGGATAAAACTTGATGTGGGAGTTGTAAAGTTGAATATTGATGGGGCTTTTTATAGGGTAAGGAAGAGAGCAGTTACTGGGCAATTGGCCGAGATCATAATGAAATGTTTATGAGGGTGTAAGGATAGAGGCATTTTGTCACGATTCATCATTTTTCATGAGGTTAAGGAGCTCCAGAACATTCCAAAACCCTCCAGAAGGCTCCCGGGCAACCTTAAGAGTGCTAGAGAGTGCAAGAACATTCTAGACAAGTCTACACAACTCTAGCCTCAATATTTTAACATTTGCTACTAGATCTTTCCATTTAAATATCTAGATATTTGTTGTAAATATCTAGGAGAGGATTCTAGAGAATGAATTATAACCGTAGGATCAATTCAATCTCCACCGTCCATTAAGGAGGTGGGAAATATCTAGATCTAAGGGGGAGGCCTATAAATACCTCACCCCTCCTCATTTATAACACAACCTTTGAGTTCTCAAAGCAATACTACTCTCACATTATCCAAGCTCTCTTTCAAGTATCCTTATCCCACTAGCTTTCCTTTTCCTCAACTTAGCCAAGCATCCTCCTTTCATACAAGTTAGGCTCACTTAGCAACTTTCAGTGAAGATTGTCTAAGTGCCACACGGGTCGAAAGACTAGCCCCATGACAATTGGTATTAGAGCATAGTTCTAACCTTTGTGCTTGAAGGAAGGTATTGCGCAATGGCAATCGAGGAAGGAAACATTGTTGGCGTGGAAGCGCAAGAGCAAGCTCGTGTACATGAGGAGCAAGCTCATACCAAGTCCAAGCGAGAGCAAGGCCGGAGAAGGGCACCCGCAGGTGAGTCCCTTGAACCTCGTGTTACTAGCTTGGAATCTAACATGGAGGAAGTGAGAACTACTATTGGGGGACTCGACGATCAACTCAACAATCTCCTATAAGAGAATGCTGAGGTAATACACATTGCCAAGTCAATGATTGCAGAACTTGGCAATAATTTGGGGGAGGATATTTGTTCCCTTACACATGATCTCGCTGATCTCCGCAAATATGTTAGAGATGAGGTGTGAGGTCTACGCTCCCAAATGAATAAAATTCATCATGAGTGAGAATCTCATCACTATGTAAGCAGCCTTATTAGTGGTAGTACTTCAAACGCTACTTCTCAGGGTTTAAAAGTGCCCAAGCTGGCCATGTACAATGAGGCTCGTAGTGCCACAGTTATAGAGAACTTCCTCTTTGGCCTAGAATAGTACTTCGAGGCCATAGGAGTCACTGATGACTTAGTCAGAATCAACAATTCTTTGACTTTCCTTTGGGATGCAGCCCAACTATGGTGGCGGAGAAAGCATGCCGAGAGAGAGAAGGGCATCTACACTCTCAACACATGAGAGCTATTCAAGTCAGAACTCCGTAAGCACTTTGTTCCCCATAACGCTGAGACAGAGGCTCGAGGTAAGCTCCGTAGGTTGAGACAAACTGGTAGTATCCCTGACTACATCAAGGAATTTACTACCATCATGCTTGAGATAGAGTACTTGTCCGACAAGGAAGCTCTTTTCTACTTCATGGACAGACTCAAAGACTGGGCTAGAGTAGAGCTTGATAGGCGCAAAGTATAAACTCTAGATGAGGCAATTGCGTCTGCTGAGTGCCTAATCGACTACTCTACCAAGTCTAAGAAGTCTAATCCTGGTAAGAGTAGGGGAGACAAAGGAGGATAAAAGAAGAACTCCGATCGTAAGGATGATGGTAAATCCTCTGGTGGAAGTGCTAAACAAGACAAGCCATCCTCAACCAAACGTGATGCCTCGAAGCCACTAAAGCTATGCTTCATATGCAATGGTCCACACTGGACTCGCGACTGTCCCAACCGCAAGGCTATGAATGCCTTGGTCGTTGAAATGAAGGAAAAGAGGGACAAGGATCAACAGATTGACCTTGGTTCCCTCCAACACTTGAACGCATTGACTGGGCTCTTTTCTCCATCTAAGAAGGAAGAGAAGGGTCTACTTTATGCTAATCTTGCCATCAAAGGCAAGGTTACCTCTGCCATGTTCGACACAGAAGCATCTCACAACTTTATGGAGGTTGAAGAAGCAAAGAGATTGGGTATCCAACTCAACAAGGGAGAAGGCACCATTAAGGCAGTGAACTCTCCAGCCAAACAAGTCCTTAGGATCGCCAAGGATGTGAAGGTGAAGATCGGGGATTGGCAAGGTACGATGGACTTTACTATTGTCACCTCCAGAACTTGCTGAATTAAGGAGACAACTCTAAGATCTCCTTGATTCTAGGTACATCCAACCATCTAAGGCCCCATATGGTGGTCCAGTCCTCTTCCAAAAGAAGGATGGTTTGCTACGAATGTGTATCAACTACAGGGCCTTGAACAAGATCACAATCAAGAACAAGTACTCGATACCTTTGATCGCTGACTTGTTTGATCAGCTTAGAAAGGCCAGGTACTTCTCTAAGCTTGATCTTTGATCGGAGTACTATCAAGTATGTATTGCTACAGGTGACGAGCTAAAGACAACCTGCGTGACGAGATATGGAGCATTTAAATTTCTTGTCATGCCCTTTAGACTGACAAATGCCCTAGCAATGTTTTGCACCCTCATGAATAAGTTGTTCCACCCTTACTTAGACTAGTTCGTGGTAGTATACTTAGATGACATCGTAGTGTATAGCAATACTCTTGAAGAGCATGCTTTACACTTGAAGAAAGTCTTCCAAGTACTCTCTGATCACGAACTCTATATTAAGTTAGAAAAATGCTTTTTTGCCAAACAAGAGTTAGACTTTTTGGGGCATAAGATCAAGGATGGGAAGCTCATGATGGACCCAACTAAGGTTCGAGCCATCCAAGAATGGCAACCTCCCACCAAGGTCTCAAAGTTAAGATCATTCCTTGGTCTGGTGAACTACTATCGCCGGTTCATCAAGGGGTATTCAACCATCACTGCTCCATTAATAGATTTGCTCAAGAAGAATAAGTCTTGGCAATGGTCACAAGATTACCAAGATGCTTTCCAAAAGCTGAAGCAGATGGTCGCACAAGAGCCTGTTATGTCCTTGCCTGACTACTCCAAGCCATCTGAGGTACACACCGATGCCTCAGACTTTACAATAGGGGGTGTGTTGATGCAAGAAAGGCATCCTATTGCGTACGAGAGCCGCAAGCTAAATGAGACAGAGAGGCGCTACACGGTGCAAAAGAAAGATATGTCCGCCATCATTTATTGCCTCCGAACCTGGCGTCACTACTTACTTGGAAGTAAGTTTCCCATAATGACAGACAACGTTGCTACGAGCTACTTCAAAACACAAAAGAAGCTCAGCCTGAAGCAAGCTTGTTGGCAAGATTTTCTTGCTGAGTTTGATTATCGGTTAGAGTACAAGCCAGGCAAAGCAAATATGGTAGTAGATGCACTGAGTAGAAAAGCCGAGCTAGCTACTCTCTCAGCAAGCATGCCCCAGAACAACTTCCTTGAACGAATCAAGGAAGGTATGTCTCAAGACTTAACTGCAAGCGACTTAGTAAAGCTTGCTGCAAAAGGCAAGACTCGAAGATTCTGGGTGAATGATAGAATACCCTACACTATTGAGAACCGAGTCTATGTGCCGAAATGGGACAACCTTCTAAGGGATGTCCTAAAAGAGTGCCATGATTCAATGTGGGCCGGACATTCAGGTATGACCAGAACACTTGCTCTCATACAAAATACTTTTACTGGCCACATATACAAGATGATGTCGAAGCATATGTAAGGACTTGGTTAGTATGCCAGCAAGACAAAGTTGAACAACAACATCCTACTGGTCTGCTCGAACCTCTGCCGGTGGCTGAAAGACCATAAGAAAGTGTCTCAATGGACTTCATAGTTGCTCTCCCTAAGTTTGAAGGATGTGGGAGCATTATGGTGGTGGTTGATAGATTCAGCAAATATGCCACCTTTATTCCAGCCTCAGCAGATTGCAAAGTTGATGAGACAGCACGCTTGTTTTTCAAGCACGTCGTGAAGTTATAGGGGATTCCTTGCAGCATCATTAGTGATCAAGACCCTCGATTCATTGGGAAATTCTGGAGAGAACTTTTCAAGCTCTTGGGGACAAACTTGAATTTCTCAACAAGCTTTCATCCTAAGAGCAATGGACAAACAGAGTGGATCAACGCTTCGTTAGTTGGGCTAAGTGAGTGCTCATCAATGAGATTGGGCTAAGTTGCTTGATGTGGCCCAATTCTCTTACAATTTGCAAAGAAGCGAGTTGATAAGTAAGAGCCCTTTCGAGATAATTACCAGACAACAACCTCTAACCCCCAACGCACTTGCCACACCATATAAGGGAGATAATCCAGCTGCCTATAAGTGTACCAAGGAATGGCAAAAAGAAGCCAACATTACTTGTGCATGCCAGGATAAAGCCTCCCATAAAATGAAGAAGTGGGCAGACAAGAAGTGGCGCCCCATTGAGTTTCAAGTTGGTGACTTGGTCATGATAAAGTTACTACCGAATCAATTCAAGTCATTATGCAAAGTCCACAAAGGCTTGGTCAGGAGATATGAAGATCCTTTCCCTATCATCAAACGTGTGAGAAAGGTTACGTACCAGGTACAACTCCCTCCCAAGCTTAAGATTCATCCTGTCATCCATGTTAGTCTCTTGAAGAAATACTGCAGAGATGAAGAAGATCCATCTTGAGGTATCTCTAAAAGAGCACCGACAGCGATCGTCACTGAGTATGACAAGGAGATAGAAGATATCCTTGCCGACAGGGTGATCAAAAAGAGAGGTGTTCCCAACTACATCGAGTACTTAATCAATGGAAGGGACAACCAGACTCTGAAGCTAGTTGGGAAAGAGAGGACCTCCTGTGGCAGTTCAACGATCAAATCCAACATTACAAGAAGGAAGGCACGACGAGGGGGTCACGAAATTAAGTGAGGGAGAATGTCACGATTCATCATTTTTCATGAGGTTAAGAAGCTCTGGAACGTTCCAGAACTCTCTAGAAGGCTCTTGGGCAACCTTAAGAGTGCTAGAGAGTGCAAGAACATTCTAGAGAAGTCTGCACAACTCTATCCTCAATATTTTAATATTTGCTACTAGATCTTTCCATTTAAATATCTAGATATTTGTTGTAAATATCTAGGAGAGGATTCTAGAGAATGAATTATAATCGTAGGATCAATTCAATCTCCACCGTCCATTAAGGAGATGGGAAATATCTAGATCCAAGGGGGAGGCCTATAAATACCTCACCCCTCCTCATTTGCAACACAACTCTTGAGTTCTCAAAGCAATACTACTCTCACATTATCCAAGCTCTCTTTCAAGTATCCTTTGCCCACTAGCTTTCTCTTTCCTCAACTTAGCCAAGGATCCTCCTTTCATACAAAGGCTTACTTAACAACTTCCAGTGAAAATTGTTTAAGTGCCGCACAAGTCTAAAGGCTAGCCCGTGACAATTTGCTAAGTCTGCTTTTATGGTCAAGCATATGGCTCTCTTGGAAACATTGCTGATTAAAGACCTGTTTAGTGATGGCAAAGTGGTTATTGAAATTGATTGACTGATGTTATTCAAGAGGATAATGGCTAGAAGTGTGGTAAGTTGTGAGTTTTGAGCCATGCGATGCTAATATGAATTGTTCCTTAGCCCTTGTGGCTTGGGGTAGGAATGGTGCCGCTGATTGGCTTGCATACGCAAGGATGGCTTTTTGAGCCACCACATTCTCTGGCTTCTCCTTTGATCAAGGATCAACATGGCAAAGGCACTGTTGCTGTTGTGAAAAAAGGTATATGTTGATTGGTTTATATGTTTGTTATTGTTTGTTTGGTTTTTTTGATAGGTTGTAACATAGGTTTATTGTTTTATTTCTTTTCATAGGTTGTACTGTTAGATGCTTTATTTTTTCTTTACAAGGGATCAGTGTGTGAAATATATTTTTTCATGATATTAATAAAATTGATCTGTTTTGCTTTTTTTTTTAAAAAAAAAAGGTCGAGCCAAATTGGATTTGCAAAAGCCATGCGAAAAAAGAAAATGCCAAATATAGGCTACAAATATAAGCAATTCAAAAGCACCATGTCGTTTGACAACTCTAGTGCTCGGCTGTTAAGAGAGGTACATCTCAATAAAGACAAGAAGAAGAAAAGCATAGACTCAATACTGAAGATTGATCTAGCAAGCAAACAAATCCGTGTATGAACAGAAAACCAATTAAATATATTGTGACACAACTACCGTGGGAAGTTTAATATACCACTGACCGTGTGAATAGACTTGACCTTCAATGAAATATACATCCAAACCGCCCATCACATGATACACATGTACACGACGTAGTCACTGAAAAAAGAATACCGGGGGAAAAAAAAGGAAGCCCCTGGGACTTTGAAAGAGATGTAAGCACTGAGAGATGTATCCACTAAACAAAGGTGTATTAAATAATTAATGCATCCACACCATGATACAGAACGTGAGAAGATAGGATAAATTACAAGCTTGGATTCTTCATTTACATGCTCCACTATTTCTAACCAACATTCACACCAGAATTCCTCTCCCTTAATGCATCCTCCGCTTTTATTTTCTCTGGAACAAAATCTGAACAGGCAAGAGCAATATACACAACATTGTCAATTCAAGCAAAGAAAGCAATGAGAACTTATACTTTCAGATGTCAGTAAATTACAGTAAGAATGGCACTGGGATATGAATAAAAATTACCAGATAGAAAGTCGTATCTGCTCTGCTTACTAACAACAGATGCTGAAAACGAAAGCAGGTGTCTTAAAAACTTGATAATGCTTAATGACATAAATGAAAGCACCGAAATCAATTTTAATGAATTAAAAAAATAAAATTCGACAGTAGTTTGGATCTTAATAAGTTATGACATTATGAAGATTTATGGTGAATGCTGCAGGTTTCATAACAGCCGAAAATAATTTCATGTCTGGTATATTGAGTTTTTGACCTCACACCCCATCTCAGTTTATGTCCCTCCCCAATAGGCTACAATGAAGAATCAATAAAACTAAAGGCTTGCAGCCACTGAAAGATGGTTCCAAATTCATCGAATTATGAGTGAGATTGTGCTCACCTCTTCTCTCTTGAACCTTGTTATCCTCTTTTCTTTTCATTTTGATTTTCTCCCATAAAAAATGCTGTCAATATTCCCCTCATCAAGAGTTGGCAATCACTGTTACAGCTTCAAGGGACAAAGTAGTCCAGAAGAAGAGCAGATGTTTCTTCAAATAGATGAAGTTGGATGATTTTACTAAAACATCATACCGTTAAGACCTAGTCTAAATCGGCTTCAATTTTCTGCTTTCTGGAACCAGAGGATGGCGATGAATACATAGTGTGAAATTGGTTCTGTTGAAGATGTCCAGATAGAATGCAGGCAACAGATGGAAAGAAGATGGCGTTTAATTGCTGTAAAGGAGAAACAGTAAAAAAGATAGATCTAACTGAAGGTTTCTCTGCTTTCTAGATGCCTAAATCTACACTTTTTGGAGAGAGCTTCCACTATCTGCTATTGATGGATTTGAAATGACATGGTTGTTTGCATATAATCCTCTTGTACAAGATTGGCAAAACATGCTTAATCATAGAACAGGGTCAGATTTTAACAATTATTCCAAAAGACCTTGGTACACAGAATAACCCAACCTAGACTCAAAAGTATGACTATGAATATTAGGATTGCTCAGCCCTCTCCTCCCATTTCCCACCCCAAAAAAGAGTATCATCCCTGAACAACAAATGGCAAGGAGCTTCACTGGGGTAGTTCAACTTCAAAGTAGGTACGAAGATGGTAAAATTGTGTCCCCAATAATTCATAAACAAATATTTGGGTTTAATTTTCCAAATAACTTAAAACTATTTAGAAGCCGTTGTTGTTAAAAGAGAAGCAGATAATGATTATGCTACGATGTCTTCGGAAGGAAAACAAGTGCCTTTGGACCATAATAACTCAAAAGAAATGGTCAGCAGCAATGAATAATTAGCAAGGGAGGCACAGGAGGAAAATTACATAGGTGTTTATAAGCAAGAGATTTCTTTCGATCCCGAACACAGGTAGCATAAGTGTCTCGCGTAAATTGTTCAAGTAACATCTCCTGCAACCACAATTGGCAGTTAGGGTGGCCTCATAAAATGTTGATCACAAATTCACGAGTTCAAAAGTTATGAAATTTAGAAGCAGAGGTGACAGTTAAAGGGTGAACGAAAAAGATGTGGTAGAAAAAAAAATTACTGTGGCTCTGTTGATGACAAATATAGCTTCCTGGGAAATACGCAAATCAAGATCTTGGCCCCTAATAATCGTTCGAATACGATTCATGGGAAACACGTTGCCTTTAGCGTCTCCTTTACCTTCAGCTTCATCTTCGTCGTCGTGCTTGATTCCTTTGACTCTGTCTTTTTTGGGTTTCGTTGCACTGGTTCGCCCATTTGTGATCTCAGTCTTGTCATCCTGACGCCCTTCTTCTTGGGCTTTTTCACGGGACCCGGTGCTGGAAGAAGGAACAACGATCTCTCTGTCTTCCTCTTTCACATTAGAATTGCCAAGTTTGTTCTTATTGCTCTTGTTTTTCTTGTTCAAGTTCTTCTCCTTTCTGGGCTTAGCGGCTTTCTTCGCTGTTTTGAAGCTGCTTGCTGCTTCGCTTTTCTGTTCGGTCTTCGAATTTTTGGAAGAAGCCATCGAGTACGTCGCCGCATAAGGGTTTTCGGTTTTTCACTTTTCTGTTCCGAGCGGAAGCCGCGGCCTCTCTGACTCTCAGTTTCTTTCTTTTAAAAAAAAAAAATTAAAGAAAAAGTCAAAGCCCGAAAAGGACAAGAACTATTTTCAGCCTTTTGGATTGAGCTCATTGCTGGGACGCTGCTAAGGACAAGAAGTATTTTGGGCCATGTGGATGGAGCCCATTATGGTAATTGGTCCAAGATATTGATCAGCCGGTGGCAATGTTCGGAGCTTAGACAGTTTAATCTAAAAACTTGAGTTGAGTCTCAAGATACACAGCAACACAATTGAGCGTATAAAGTGTATCTTATTAACGATACCCACAAAATTTCCTTAAAAAGAGTCCCACTTATACAAGGATTCGAATTAGTCTAGATTAGATGGGGTAAACAAAGAACTCAGAATATTCAAATGTTCCAAGATACTGGGCGGGCACAAAAAAAAAAAAAAAGGTAATCGTACTCACTTGATCCCTGCAATTTCTCTACAATGTGCCAATTATTTTATTTAATTAATATTCGTTTGTTTCAATTTATTTTGTTAAAAATTAATTATTTTTGAAATATATTTTAAATTTTATAATATTTTTTAAACATTTAAAAATAATTAAAATTTAAAAAATAAATTTTAATTATTTTGAGTAGTTCTTAAAAATAACTGATGCAGTAATAGATGAGATATACTAATATTTTAAAAATGCGTAATACAGAAAGATATCCTAAAATTTTAAATAATTAATAAATAATATTTTTATAGAACAAAAGTCAAGAAAAGTATCATAAAATTTTAAAATAATTAACTAATAATAATCTTTTTACTATTATAACTAAACATAAACAATGTATTGGTTTTGTAAAATATTTACAAAATAAATTTATTTTTAAAAAATTTAAAATTATTTATTTTAAATTTTAAACAGATGAACCCTAATGCCTCATTTGGTACAGAGAATTATTTTTTGTGAAAGCGGAAGCGGAAACTGAGGTGGAAATAGAAGTGGACATAAAAAAAGAAATGGTTTAAAAAATTTATTTGATATACAGATGGAAGTGTGAAATTTATCTTAATCAATAATTATATTTAATGTGAAGTTACAAATGTGTCCTTGCCTTTTTAAAAAACCACACCTAAATCCATAGCTTGTGATTGTTGATTGTCGTTGCTGGAGGTCACACTCACCTTCTTCGATAAAGACGAAACTTTGCCGTAAAAATACAATGAAAGTTGGAATGATTATTATCAAACACAAAAAATAAAATATGTTTTATTGAAAACCAAAAATGCTATCAAATTGAATTCAAAAAATTGGACACCCAAGAACTTCCATTGTCTACCTCAAATTCTCTCTTCAAGATGGTTCTATGACTTTCCTTTTATCTCCACCCACACGAAATGGCTTTAGGTAGTCCCATCTAAACATGAAGTGTTACTCTCTTCTCCCACTCCTTTTACTTTCATGCTTTTAATTTGCGATCTAGTAATTGTCTCTTCACCCACTCTCTATGTTTATGATTATCTCATCAAGTCCTTCTCTCTCCGATGTTATCTAGAATGGGCAAGAGCTGCCACCTATAAATTTGCTGGTGGATTTCAATGCAGTGAAGAACTGCTTGTTAGCCTCTTAAACTCTAATTTCTTGAATAAGTCTGACTTCCGTACCACAACATTAATGACGTATCCTCAATTGTGCTTGAAATACTATCACTAATGGTTTTGGTTGGGAGGTGCTATAACCGGTCAAGCCCATTACACCTTTATAGTGTCATTGTCGGTGAATGTTTCTATCGGTGAACACCTAAGAGTTGTAGGATAAGCAAAAGGTAAAGATGGCATATAAGAAAGGAAGTAATTGAGGAATTGAGTTCCACCATTTTTTAATGAAACTAGGTTCTCTAGAAAATGACTTCCTGTGTATCAAACATTTCATTTCTAGAAATTTTGCTTCCACTTCTACTTCCACTTCTCCCATGCCAATTCCACTCTCAAACAAGCCAAAAGTAAGAATATAGAATCAATTAATTTATTTTTATTATTTTTTTGTCATTTATAGGCATTCTCTTATTAAAAACAATCATATTTGAAGCACGGTCAAACACTAACCGTAACACATTTTCACAAGAATTTGAACCTCAACTAGGATTTTGTGAGGCGCTGATTTTGTGAGGCGCTGATTCATTCTTCCAAACCCAATCTCAGGTGGTGATTCTTGTTATTTTGCTTGTTGTTGGGGAATCAACAAGTGAAAGGTTTGGCCAAGGAAAAGAGTTTACTGTTTAGCCACGAATGGTGCGAAAGTTCATACATACATCTCTCCCAGAATTCACTACACATGCCACGTGTGTGTGTCTATCATTGTTTTGAATATCGAATCGAACGGTCAAAAACCACCTATTCGATAAGCTGAGCATTTCGGTTACAACAATTTTTAGAAAATTGGACAACTTCCGGGCATGACAGAAAAATAGAGAAAAAGTAAAAAAAAAAAAAACATCAAAACTAATTAAAAACTGGTCTTATCAAAAAACCTATAATGATCTTCAAACTATATGTAATCTCGTGGTATTGTTTTATTTAAAACTTCACCTATCGTGGTATTATTATGTGAACCATTAGATATACACATTAAAAAATTAAACAAAATTAATGGTCAGATTTTTTTATGTAATACAAGGACAAAATTTTTTTTGTCCTTTCTATAATTGTTAATGTCATTTTATATTAATTTTTGATCAACTAATGGTTAAAATTAACTTTTGTTAATAGTAGGCTAAATTATATAATTTTAAAAGTTGAAAGAATAATTTACATAATAAATAATTTTAGGATCTACAATGCTATTAGATCTAAACTTTAAATGCAATACACAAAGATGACCTAAATTTTTAAAATAATTAAATAAAAAATATTTTTATAAAACAGAAACCAAGAAAAATATCATAAAATTTAAAAATAATTAACTAATAATCACCTTTTTATTATTACAACCAAATAAAAATAATGTCTTTTTTTATAAAATATTTACAAAATAAAATGAGAATTTGAATCTTAATTTAGGACGATTGTGAGGCACTAATCCATTCTTCTAAACCCAATTTCCGGTGGTGATTTTGCTATTTTGTTTGTTGTCGGCGAATCCAGCAAGTGGAAGGTTTGGACGGTCGAGTCCATAAGTTTAATTTTTAGTTGACTACTAAGAACCTGCAACCAGTTTTATTGAACTCTCTCTCTCACCTATGCTTCAGTATGACCCCAGTTCCTGGCTTCCAGTTCCTGTTCTTCATTAGGCGTGGGTGATAAATATAGCTCAATAATGGTCCTCACTCCACGTGCGTGTTCTTGTATACCTGACACTGGATAGTAAGGCGATTGAGCCACGTAATTAGGTGGCAGATCACGATCTTCAAGATCATATCTTAGTTATGAGCATGCACGATAATAATGCAGGTTCTACTTTCTAGCTAGGATGGGCCCTTCAACTCGAATCTTCTTGTTCCACGTCATGGTCTCTAGCACTCGTGAATACAGTAATTTAAGTAGTGGCAGATCTTGAAGTTGAGGTACTATAATACATACAGATAGGGATTTGGGGAATCCGACACTATCATCTCATCCACATCTCCCTTTCCCACTCCTGATTTGTAGTGCTTCGAAACCAAAACGTGTCAGCGATTGTTGAGGAAGTGGAATCGTGGAGTGCAGCTTGCTAGGCAGGGTGAAACTCTTCTTAACACACACCACACCCACCCCCTAGATATATGTGAAATAACTGAAGATTTCGCAGGAGGTTATTAAATTTGCCGCAGGGCCCATGCGAAGCTTCAAATTTAATTTGTTGTCTGACGGGCTTGGCTTATTTTTCAGCCGTTATTTAACTTATGCACACAATTTTATCTGTGTTTCCACATTTGCAATAGAGTCTCCACATCGAGTGTGAATCCGCAGAAGATTACATCATATAACATCAAACATGTAAACCACAATATGCCAAATGAATGAAAACAAGTGTAAAATCACCATAAAATTCTGATAAATTATTGTAAAGGACGATTGTAAGAAAGGAGCAGTGTTGAGAAAAATGTAAAAGCAGTGTAATGGTCCAAATGAATGTGGATGTCCAGCATTGCTAGAGAATCGGGTGACGCCATTCGCTGGGGGGTAAGAAACCGAGACCCACACATTTATGAAGCAGCTTTGTGATCGTCCAGAGACACTCAACGTAACAGTAGACTCCATCCTGCACAGCCGAATCAATCTCTTCGACTCTAGTTTGGTATTGCTATACAACGACGATGCTAGGAAAATTCTCTTGTATAAGCATTATTTTAATAAATTCACTTTCTCGTCTATTAATAAATATAATAATATATTCTGTATTTTTCCGCTCAAATTAAATAATTTTCCATATCTCCAAACCCAATGAGACCAAGTCTCTCAGTTTTTTAAAGAAGACCAGAATAAAAAGGAAAACAAAGATAAATTTTTATAAATTAAACAAAAAATAAAGAATAGAAAAAAAAAAGCAAACAGATCGCAAACTAACCAGGAAAAAAAAAATCAGAATCAGATATAAAAATTTCGCGGATCAGTCTGTGTCCTGTGTCCTAAACTCTCAGGTGGCAATTAGGTCAAGGTTTCGTTGTGGAAGACAACCAGAACCAACAAGTCAACAACCATCTCTAACATCTTTGAATCTTCAATCACGGAGCAGGTTTTCGCTCCATTGCATCATCTTGACATTAAAATTAGTACTCCCTCCAATTTCCATAGACGAGTCATCGCTGTCTAAAAAAAATCAATAGTCCCTTTTATAAATTACTTTGTATAAAAATTTGATTATTAACTATTTTTTATTTTACCCATCAATAGTTTTTACGAGCAGCATAAAAGTTGCATAGAAATATGTTTTAAAAAAATACTATATTTAATAAGAATAACTTGGATTTTTTCCAAACAATATTTATGTTTTTATAATAAAAAATTTAAGTGACTTAGATTCCACAGCTTATTAGGACCAAAGCATGCTTAAATGCGCT